GCTCTGGGAAAGGCTTCTTCTTCGTTTTCAGTAAATGCTTTAAAAAACTGCGTATGTCCAGTACCTCCTTTTTGGGCATGAAATTCGTGGCTTTAGTTAATGGCCAAAAGTACCCATAAAGAGGAATAAGGTTTCTGTGCTTCCGCTCTGCACTTCCTCCACGGAACATTGTAAATTTAGCAAATCGCACGTAACTGTTTTATGCATTCAAGTACATCAGTGTTCACATTAACCAATTCCCTAGCTGTGGCCTGGCAGGAAGACGTAATCGTTATTTTTTCAACCTATCAAATTTAATTCAGCTTCCGTCTCACCATCTCCATGAGAATGATTAAAATCCAGGGGTGTGTGCATTTCACTTCCCTTCTGTGCCCCTACCTCCAACGCAGACTGAACATGGATTCTTGCCTTCCTTCCCACGAGCCCCTCCCACATTTTTTTTTCATTCCTTCCCTTCGTGTTCCTCCCTTCTTTCCTCTGTTTACTTGCTACCCCACCGCTTCTTGTGGTGGTGCGGCGTGACGGATGGGTCCCTCGCGGCTGGAAGTTATCACTAATTTTGTCCATTCCTCACCGCATGGCACCCGTGCATGCTCTCGCCAGCGTCGTTATCGTCCCATCGCCATCGCGCACTTCGCACGCGCTGCTTTGCAGTCTGCGCAGGCTGCCGCCGTTTCCTCCCGACATCCGCTCTTCACTTCGTATTCTGTTTCAGCTAAGAGCTAAAACCGTCACACAGCGTGCACTCCTGCCTCGCCGTTTTAGGCTACCTCCAAGTTTTTTTCTTCCCTGACTCGTTGAAAGTGCTCTAAATTGACGTGAAATGTTGGGCATTCGTGCCGGAGCGCCAGAAATGAAAATTAAGGCAGATGGTACCGAACGCAAATACGGTAATGATGCTTGGAGAATTCACGTGAGTGGCAGAGATCATTTTTAGCGATGCCTCAGTCTCTCCCCCGAGCGGGGGAACACCACTCGTGAGGTCTCCTGTGTGCGGCATTCGCAGGGCAAGGCTGTTTACTATGGGTTACCGATGGCGGTTGCTATTGCTGGAGAGAAACAGGTTTTCAACGTATGTAGCCTCAAGCCGAAAGAAGTGCGTGTCTCCTTGCTCAAAAGGGGGCATCAAGCAGCTGTTCATTGCTCTGGGTGTAAGGATACACAGATCGAGCGATTAACATTGATCCTCAAGCTCACAATAATGCGTCAAATCATGCGCGTGACAAACGGTGGCTTGTTGTGATTCCCACGCGTGGCACGCAATGGATTCACCCGACCCCTGGAGCCACTGGAGACCTTTACATTAATCACAACTGAAGAAAAAAAAACCACTCATCTTGAATCAAATCGCAATCCTGAATCTATTGAATCACGAGGGCTGCGTTCCGATTCATCACAATTGGTGCCCCCCCCCCGAGGCAGTTGTGTAGACAATCCACACTCCTCTGGCAAGGACGGGAAATCTCTTTCAACAGTTGTCACCAACAGTTGTCACCAACTGTTGAATTTCTCGACGAAACACCCCGCGCCCCCCCCCCCAGCTCGCTCATTTCAAGTTTGTCAGTTTTCAGGGGTGGGGGGTGGGGAAATTCTCAGGGCTTGTTTAAAGGAGGCAGGCGTCATCGGTGCGTCAAACGAGCGTGAAGTGTGCGCGGCCGTGTGAATGTGGGGCTCGCGCCTGTCCCGTGAGAAGCAAGGTGCCGTTAGCTCTGAGTAGCAATGATTTTTGCAACAACAAAAATTGTTGCCTGCTTTCCTTTAATCACGGTACAGGAACTGCTATTCTATATATAGCCCCCCCCCCCCCCCCCCCCCCACTGCTACATTTCACTTAATAAGCTAACGGTGAAATTTCTTAACCCGTGACTTCCTGTGTCACTGGATTGCTTCGAGGAGGACGGGATGGGAGTTGTGTGGGAGATGTCGCGAAAGTTTGCACAACTGGCCACTCATTTCTCTCGCTGCTGTCAAGCAGCGCGCCGTCCCTGCGCGTTAATGCACACCCGAAAGCGGCGCCGGATAATTATCGGCGACACATTGTTCACTGTGAAGGGCTGTGCCGGTGATGAGTTGGTAAATCAGTGAACGATGGAAGGTAACTTGGTGCCCAGTGTCGTTGCTGGCAGCGGCTGTGTTCGGATTCTATGGCTGGGTGAAGATGTTAAGGGAAAGGTTGTGGTAAAAGTGGTAAGGGTGCAAAAACAGTTACTGCAGGTGAATCGAGTACCGGTAATGTCCTCCAGACAGACTGTATTTGAATTCAAGGGATTCAATTCGAGGTATGGGAATGGAGAAGACATCTTCTTTGGTTCTTTCGGTAAAGTCACGTAGAATGATAATAAAATAATAAATTGATAAAATAAAATAACACAATAATATTCTCACGACGTTTCGGCCACAACACAAGCGGCCTTCATCAGGTGAAGGGGGGCGAGACTGTCTGGTAGGACAGCGCTGGAGTGAAAAGTCTGTCCTACCAGACAGTCTCGCCCCCCTTCACCTGATGAAGGCCGCTTGTGTTGTGGCCGAAACGTCGTGATAATATTATTGTGTTATTTTATTTTATCAATTTATTATTTTATTATCATTCTACGTGACTTTACCGAAAGAACCAAAGAAGATGAATCATTGCAGTCACGAAAGCTTTAAATCGAAATGGAGAAGACAGTTTAAACAATGCCGTGTCGATCATGGATATGTCTTTCACCACGCGAGTCCTTGCGGGTTGGTGTAGGTGGGTTTGTGGGGAGGCTGTATTTTGTACTGTGCTTCACACGTGCTTCTCTATACAGTCCTCATTTAACGCAGTAGATGCGTTCCTGAAAAGTGTGGCGTTAAACAAAAAAAAATGTATTTAGCGGAAACAAAAATGTCCGCGTAAATGTAACGATGAAGTTTGGTGAGACACAATGTAAACATAGACATATATAGTCTTAACAGACCGCTGGGTTAAGTGCTGTTAGTAAGCACCTATGAAGGCCGGCACGGCACACCACGCCCGGCCGCCTTTGTCTCTTTGGTGGCGATTATTACACACCGCACCAGGTACTATATGTGAGGCTGAGTCGACCTAGAGGAGACCCAGGACCAGTTCAGATCGTCACTGGTTTTGGCCGTGAACAGGAAGCGAACTCGGGTTGCCGGGTTTGAAGCGCGTGGAGTGCTAACCGCTGCACCAATCGCTCCCCACACACAGAGTAAGATAGCGGCACTAATAGCTGAGCTTAATTCCGCCGCGTTACCCTATCACTCTGCTCAGCCACGCAGCTCAAGAAAGTAGTTCGCCGTCAAGCGCTCCGAGACTACGTTATAACGGTGCTTCTCACGCGTTGTGCGAGAAGTGTTCCCGAATGGAAGAGCCGCGTTGTAGCAAAAACGTGTTGTGCGAAACACCACGCGTTAAGCGAGGACTTATCGTACAAAGGAAACATAAAACAGTTGCTGAAAGTGATTCATAGGTCTAATTGCCGTAATTTGTTATGTCTTGAAACCATTTTTTTAACAATGGGACCTTTCCTTTTTCAACATTAGTTTTCAAGTAGTCATTAATGGCTTTGAGTCAAATGGTCATTAACTCCTGACCTTTGCAATACCGTTTTGTAAATGTGCGTGGAAGTTGGTATATGTTTTTCTATTCTCCTATCCAATGTCAATTAAACATTATTTCCATAAAAATGATGAAGGGATGCCCACACAGGAAGCATGCCATAGTAATCATGTTGCACACTGCAAATGCATGTGTAGCGGACAGTTATGAAATGTTGATAATGGGGGAAAGCTGAAATGGAAATTATATTGGGATGAACATTGTGTCAAGACCTCAATCAAGTTAAGTCGAAGTAAGGCTAACTCTTGATTGAAGCATCTCCACAATAATGAAATATTTGTTCAAGGTCAAGATCAGGTGCGTCTGGAGAATTGCCATTGGAGGTGTAACGTCTAAACATTAATACATGTTGGTTGCGTTAATTGCAGCACGCAAAGAAAGGCCAGGCATACAAGGAGTTAGTCAGAGTCCACACAGACAGGAATGCTTTTGCTGCATTGCCATCTTGTGGCTACCTCTCATCCCACTGGGGCAGGAGTGCGGCATCCGTGAGCCAGCAACACTGGCTCTATCACTCAGGCGGTGCCACTGACATAGCAACCGATTCGACAGAGGGGCTGCCAGCTTGGTTGGGGGTAAATTCATCCTATCATCCCTACAAGGCCAATAAAATGAGTAGTCAGCAGTGATTTGGCTTGCCTGTCATCCAGCACCGAAGAGGCAAGGATTGGTGGATCGCACAATTATTGTGATACTCCCTCGCCGTGGGCGTTGAGGTGTTATTCTCTGGCTTGCCAGGAGAATGCAGTTCAGCAAAAATGTGGACTCCGTGTTTTAGGTCTGTATGGGATAGACTGTGTCCCCGTCGCATGCGTTGGTTTATTATGAGTGCTCCAGTTTCCTCCTGCATGTAAACACTCAAATGGCTGATAACACCTTCGTATATGGAGGAACGTGGAGCTGGGGCAATTGTTGGCACCAGCTCACTGCGTGGCTGCCTTCCTACCTGTCTGTGGTTTCCTTGTGCCTCTGTGTCATTCTCTCTCTTCGAGAGCGAGCGAATGCTGTGCGTGATTCCAATCTGTGGGTAGGCAACAACGGTAATCATCTTTTTAGGGAGACCAGCCCCCACCAGTGGCCCAGGGCCTCACCAACAGATGTGGGCCGAGTAGCGACGACCAGAAGCAGCGCCACATCTTAACAAAATGAGCGTCGACGCATCGCCTCGGCAAGTCGCCCTGCAGCTGGTGACTGAAAACGTTGGCACGTTTTCACCAGCGGTTGAAATCAATTTGGTGAAGGTGCTCAACATTCAGCGGCACATAACCTGGGGGGCGGTGAGGGTTGTGGTGGGGGGGGGGGGGGGTTAGGAGATCTTTTCGACTCTTGGCTCGTGACACCGTGCCCCCCCTCTACCAACCCCCCCCCCCCCCACCCCTTCTCCTACCGGCAGCTTCAGACGTGGCACACTTGGACGGGCGCAGCGCCCTGGCGTACCGCTTTGCGCACAAGAGCATGCGCACGCTGAAGGACGCCGTGGCGCTGCGCTTCAAGACGGCCGCGGCGGACGGTGTGCTGCTGCACGGGGAGGGCCAGCAGGGAGACTTCCTCACGCTGGCGGTTCACCGCGCCCGCCTGCAGTTGCACCTCAACCTCGGTACGCGGCGAGGGCCCGTGGCCAGACGTGGCGCGTCGTTGTTGCCCGTTTCGGTCATCACAACGCCATGTAAGACGAAACATAGTTTCGCTGTAAGTCGTTCACGTTAACACCGCGAAAGCTGCTTTCATTACCCTACCACTTTTTAACAAATGCTTGAGCTCCACTGCGATAACACACCTACACGAACAACCTTACACCGATCATAACACTCAACACTATTACAGTTTCATGATGGAATGTTACGACTAATTATTACAATAACGGACGTCTTCTTAACCCTACCGCAGCTTCACTAACGATGGGGCGCAATGGAAGTCTCTTCCCTTTCTGGCTGTTTTGCTCTAATCCTCCTGCGCTGCTCAATGTCTAAACCTCTCTGCTCCGTGTCCTCCTTCACTGTTTCTACCCAGCGCATTTCTGCTCTTCCTTCACCCGCTTGTTACTTTCCTCTGCTGCGCATTCCCATTAAACAGTACCCTTTCTACGATATGTGTCCAAACCATCACAAACGTCCGGCTTCATTTTTTTCCCCAACATTATTTTTGCTCGGCCCGGTTGTTTTCTCCAGTCTAGATGCTCCCGGTGTCCCTCTTAACCGGCGTATTGCTGCAGTTAGTATCGTCCGCTCATCTTTTTTTCATCATGCTTTAACGCTCTGCTCCGTGTGACAGTATTGGGATGATTGTTGTCTCATATACTCACTTTTGTGTTGATGTCTTTAGCCTTCCTTATCTTGGGAGTTTACCGAATGCAGCAGCAGCAGGCAATCCAATCCTTATACTTACGTCTTCATCACAGCTACATTCTGTGGTATCATTCCTCCAAGATAACACAAACCATTCCGGTGCCTGCTTCAGTGTTCAGGCACCCACTGTGAGGTTTATCCGCATTTCTCTGGAAAGGTCTGGACCTACTGTGCGAACCTATACATTTGTCCAAATTTTCTTATTTTTCAGAGGAGGAAATTGATTTGCGTTTCCCATTGCATGAACAACATGAAACGCAGTGATGAATGCTTAAGAGAGCTGCTTCAGAGTTTTAAAAAAAAGCTGTTCTTGAGCAGCTCTATTTGCAAGCTGGCACCTCTGTGTAATGGTGTGGCTGTTAAAATGTCCTTCCATTAGACTCACAAGTTCATTGGGGTGTCATTGTGGCTGGGTGACTGAGGGTTAAGGCACTGAGCTTGGAGCACTGACATCCTTGGTTTGATTCTTGGTATCAGCCACCTCTGGTGAAACCGGGTTCTCAAGTGTAGCCTATCCGTGCTGTTAGCCTGGTCACCAATGACAGCACGTAAAACATCACACTTTATTGTGGGTTTTCACTGGGTTTTGTTAAATTCAAGAATTGAAAATATTCCTTTGACAGAATTGGAAGGAACATTTTTTTTTTATAGGAGGGCACGTGTGAATATGCACCCTCTCGTGTGTGGATACCAAGGTCACTGGAAGGGATCTCACAAGGACAGTAGCTTTGCGATATCAGCTTCTATTCTATAAGACGCCGGCGCTGCCCTGCGAGGGTTTCCAGAACGGATTCTCAGTTTGACCACACGATAGCAATGGCACGCAGACGAAGCCGCTCGGTGACCCAGCGCACATTGCCCACCTCCAGGCAGCAGGCAGCAGCGTGCGCCCACGGGACACACGAGCGTGACAGTGGGCACGCTGCTCGACGACCAGCACTGGCACAGCGTGAGCCTCCATCGCCACGGCCGCCACGTCAACCTCACGCTCGACGGGCACACACGCCACCTCCGCACCAACGGCGACTTTGACTACCTGGACCTAGACTACCAGGTGGGCCCAACGCGGAGCCTGGCGCCCAAGCAGGGCTCAACTTGAACTTGACGGTTGGGGGTCACCTTGAACTTGATACACTGGCGGCCACCTTGAATGTGACTACCTACGAATTTGAGGCTACCTTGATCTTCGCAACCAGCTAGAGACTGCATTCGGGCCACCTTGAAACAGACATTATTGTACTCAGTGGAGAGACAATTTGTTTAGATTTCTTTGAACAGACTTTAAAAATAAGTTAACACATGAACGGAAAACTCTTTGTGAGTGAGTCCTACTATTTTTTTGAGCTATAATTTGTGTCGTTTATGTTTTATTGTGACTTAAATTACTTAAATTGTACCACGTTTCCCATTTACAGTAGTCGGAACTTTTTATGCCTCGCGGTTTCAAAGAGTGAAATTCTGTTAAAATTTGTTTACACGTTTTCTTATCTGCGTATATATTTAATTGCTCTTTTTTATTTTGTTCACATATATTTTTTTCATAAATTCCTTCTTCAGTTTTTTACTCCTTGAACATTGTGGAAAGCTGTGGTAGTTCAATCGCCAAGACATCATCACTTAAAATTCAGTCATAAATCGAAATTAAAATTATATCCTTGATTGACCGAGCATGCGTCAGTGCTAATTTCTTAGCACTGGTCTTGAAAACTTTGTAAATGTGACAAAATCCTATGGTGGGGACCAGTCAGACATAGATGGACACATGGATATTCAGATTGTCCATATATTTTCCCACAATTATATTATTACAACTAACATTTGAACATGCAAAACATGATTTACCTTTACAAACTATACTTATTTTCTACGCATTTAGAGTAAAATCCAGATTCTGTCCTGTTAAAAGGATTTTTTTTTTTAATCTCCAATGGGCTGCCACCTTATTCCTCAATTTGTCCGTGCACAGTTTTAATTTACAAGACATCAGATCCTCCCCCTACTTTGTAACATTTATACAGCCACTACAGCTTGTTGAGTCAACAGGGAGCTTTGTGTTTCTTTATAGATAAAGGGAGCATGCAGAAATGGCGATAAGTGAAGCAGCTGCACGCAAGCCGATATTTGATATGCGGCGAAATATGATTAAGGGCAGTGGGGAGCAGGCCACAGGTCTAGCAGAGCCTATGGTTCAAGAAGAAACTGTGCTCCCTTACAGTTGCTATCAGCAGCACACACCAGGCATGTAGGCTTAAAATTCTATGGATGCACTTCTCTGCGGATTTGATGATTACAAGCCATTGGCTAAATCCCATCAGCTGAGTTTGAAAAATGGTAATTATTTCCTGACTGCCATTCTGATGTACATTCCTGATTGCAAGTATTCAAAGGAAGTTTCAATTAAACAGAATTTGTACTATAATACATTTGGAATACATCAATACAATGTACAAAATCTCAATGGAAAATAGTTGAGTATTTATTACAAGGGACCTTTGCAAGTTGTATATTTGATAATTATTATGCGAAAGTTAGTTGTATCATGCATTGCTGCATAGGATTGCTCCGATGGTGCAAACTTAAACTTTGGTCTTTTTAAAAATATGTTGACCTGTGCGTGAGTGTATATGGGTACGCTTTTTCTGGAATGCATTAAAACACAAATAGTTTCATTGATTCATGCATTTTTACGCGTTATTTTAAGTTAAACTGTGTGTTCAAAAAATGTATGATTATTCTCCTAAAATAAAAATGTTGTGTGGAGGAGTAAGCAGTAAAAGATGAAATTAAACAAATCACTGGCAGAGCTGGGCACAGAATGTTAGTCTCTACAAGGCCCTTTGCTTGCCAGCAGATTTTTTTCTTGACATATTAACGGCTTGCCTTCCCCTCCTTTGATGCCAACTACGTTTGATTTGCCACTTGGATGCTTGGCCATTTGGCAACCTTTGCAGGTAAGGCAGCCAAGATCATACGGCCGTCTGCCGTGCTGGCGTTTTGTGAGCGCCAGTTGCGTGTTGACAGTCGACAGCAGTGGGGGCCATTTAATTGAGAAGCGTTCCTTTTTGCTGAACGATGCTAATAGCTTGTGCTGTACGCAGCGGGATGCAGAACCTGTGACCGCAAATCTTTTGTCTGCCTGGGCATCACCGATGCACAAATTGGCATTCAAAGACAATGAAAAAAGGGGAGGAGTAATACAAAGCAATAATGCATACAGATTGTCAACACGCATCTGAGTGACACGTGTTATCCTGCATGCCGCTCCCCTGCCATGGTTTGTTGGACTAAAGGGCACCCATGATTTAATTGCAACCTGAGAAATGCCACATCCAACGACCAAACATCAATCCCATCGTGAGCAATTAGCCCTAATGAAGCCCATCTTGGAAGGTGCCAGCTCACAAGAAATAAAAGAAGCAACGTGCTGTTTATCAACGTGTAGTCTTTATATTGGCCATCTGCCCCAGCAAACCACAAAGGTTTTATAAAAATGTCCAAACGGGCTTGGCACAGGCCAATCCTCATCAGCAGCATTGTGCGTAATCCAGAGGCATGGAGGGGCGAGGTGTGTGCGCAGCTATATCGCTGTATGCGTTTGAGTGCATGCTGAAATTATTGCTTGGTTTGACCCGTCTCTGGCTTAACATGCCCCATGGGATCTGGAGGTCTATTTCAGAATAAAAAAACACACGAGGTTACGTTTTTGACGCACGACTCCGGTGCCTTTCTTGTAACCTTTATTGACCGTCCTGGAATTAGGTGTACAAAGCAATTTAAAATCGAGTTTGCAGTCTATAACAATGTTTTATGTGTCCCATGCGGTTCGGTGGTCTATTATGTTTTTTTTTGTAATTACAAAAAAAAACATTTAAGAGATAATCTTCTATTTTGAAGTGAGACCCAGGTCTTTGCTGCTGCACTCCCTACTGGAGCTTGACACCCATGGCTGTATGGAAACATCCACAGGATGACTTAACCAAAACGTGATTGATATTTTTCTATTCCCCCACAGTTGAGCTTTGGAGGGCTGTCCACTCCCGGGAAGGGCAGAAGCAGCTTTAAGCGGAACTTCCAGGGTTGTCTGGAAAACGTCAGCTACAACGGTGTCAACCTCATAGATCTGGCCAAGCGGAGGAAGCCAGCCGTGTACATCACGGTACAAAGTTCACTGCGCCGACGCACATGTCACGCACGCACGCACCCACCCACGCATGCCGTTTCACCAAATATATTGGCATGTTACATTCAGCCATGTAACTGTGCTCTTCTCGTTTTCTCAGCATGAATGTTCAAGTACATGCCCCTGCTCATTATAATTGCTAATTCTCAGTTACGTTGTCCGAGACGGTGTGTGGTGTGGCCTCATCTAGTCTTAAACATCAACGCGTGCAAATTCTTTTTGGATTCAAATCTTTAAAATGTCCACGTAAACACACACATCCATAAATACCTCACCTTAATTAGTGACACCTATCGGTGATTTTAAAATCGAATTTGTTTGTGAAAGGAAACTATTTGCATACCAATGTGCCATAAGAGGACATGTTTTAATCAGTAATATTAACTGCTATGTCCAACGGATCGGAAATATAGACGCTGACGAAGAATATGAAAACAAAAGCTGAAAAGTGCGCAAAGAAGCATGGGGAGGTGCCTACTTTGAATGATAATGAAGGGGGTCAAGAAGGAAGACTTTCGAGAGCATGCACAGAGGGGAGTACACGCCTGGGATGACGTCTACTCTGGAGATGGAGCAACGTGACCGATTTGTGTGTAGGAGTTCGATCGATTGTTCACCGCAAGGCCGTGAAGGAGGCCCTTCATCTCGCAGTGGATAGATCATGGCCGACGATAAACTTTGGAACAAAAGTGCTCGTTGCATTTGTCTCTGTGCGATGACCGGCGCACCGGATTCAGGTTTACACCCGTTCATGGACGGTGAACACGCAGAGGTGGCCTTGAATTCTAATGCACGTAACAACACGCATGATGAATTGACATCGTGCCTTTTTATATTAAAAGCTCCTCACTGATTATGCATAATGAATGGACAAAATCAGATTGCCGTCAAACTGTCCCACTCAAACCTCCTCTTTCGCGTGGCTGTCAGCAGGGCATCATGAACTCTCGAAGCGTAACTTCTCACCATGGCACTTGACTGATTTGATTTGCTCCAATTGTTTATTTACATCCGGCGAAATGGCCAGTCGCATTGCGAGGGTTTGAGGCGCATATTCCAGATGCTCGGTGATTGATTGCACTTTGATGTGCGCTGTGGGGTGCGTGGAAAGTGTCCTTAAAAAGTTTTAGTACACTTTGCAAGAGTGCAGGGGGAACTGTTTGCGAGATTATCAGCAGTGTGTCATATTTTGTACAGTATTCCCTCGTTATTCCCGAACTTGCTATCAGCAATTTTGGCTATCCGCAAATCGCATCTGGAACTCGACACGACAAGAGAGAGCGTGATGCGAGAAAGTGATGAGCTCATCGTTACTGCATCCTTCTACCGCGCATCATCATCGTTATTGTAATTTACGGTGAGCTACTTTATAAATTATTATTTAATTAGAAATGTATGTTTAAAAAAACTTTGATTTCTTGTGCTATGGAAATGTGCATGTATTTAAGAACTTGTTTAAGTGTTTATTAAAGGAAATGTATTAAAAACATAGGTTTTCGTAGGCCAATATCGTAGTGCATGACATTTTCTATTCTCCAGTATCTCCAGAACGTATCCCTCGCAAATAACGAGAGAATATTGCACTGCACAGGCATCCCTCTGCAGGGCCCCCTGGTGGTAGCCGTTGGGCTCCTGATATTTAATTCATCACGGGCTCATTAATACTGCGGGGGAGTTCTTCGAGTCATTGTATTGAGCCCAAGATCTGAGTCGTACACATATATCGAAGCGGTGAGCGTGAGCTTTTATGCTTATTGTTCATGATAAACACTTGACGGTAAAATGTGTGTGAGATGTTGTTAGTCGCATGTTTATTTATTGATTTGCTTTACCAAAAAGAGCTTGAGAAACACTTGCTGTAGCACTGCAATATATGTGGTGAATAATTTTGTGTAAACAGTCGTGCCAGATTCTGACGCCAGTGTTCATGCGGTCTGGCTTAGAGCTGATCCCTAGGCATTGGTGCGATCTGGTGGCAACAAGACTGATGCTTATGAATAAAACAAACATGGGTCATTGAAATATTGTGTGGAGGTACTGCAAACAAGAGCAGCAATTTGTGCCAGTTGTGTATTCCACAGGGTTGCTATAATGGATGAGAGTGCCTGTTATATTAATGACCACTCATTACGGTTGATGAATTTGAGTAGCCTTTGGCTTGAATTCTGATCACTGGTTGACAAATGACTGCACGGTAACCCGACTCCAGATCTCTTTGAGGCACAAAGTACTGTTAGCAGTGGAGAAAGAGGCCCTTTCAGAAACATGTCTTGCATATCTTGTGGGCTGTGTGGGTGACTTTATTAGCTGGTGTGATGGATCTTGTAGCATTCAACTGTGATTGTCAGAATGTTTGTATTTTCACAGGTTGCGTTGGCTCGGTAACACTCCGTGACCCTTTTTCTCACTGAAGACCTTTTTTGCCTGCCAGAGTAAACATTTGTGTGCACGCGTGCACATGTTTCCAACCACTTGTCAATATCCTCGACTGAAGTTTGTAATGCATTATATTATTTTGTCACGAAACTATTATTTTACACTACCGTATTCAAGTGTATTGGTTGCACCATGTTTTTATTTTTTATTCTAATTTTGAGTTTTACATGGTCATATTTTGGCACGTTAGTAACGGTGGTTGACGCATTGCACCGAAAACCCGGTAATCTAAGATCAATTCCAAGCGAACGCGAGCGCCAAGTGATATCTCAACCGGTCCTTGCTCCCCGTACGTTACTAAACTACAATGACCAGTGTGGTGTAGTATTGTCAAACGATTCCCTTGAGAAACCGCGTTCGGATGCCTTCATCCAGAAATGGATTGACAAAGGACGTGTGTATGTAAGTAAACTGAAAAAGAGCGAATGAGCTCAATGGTCTTTGCCCAATATAAATGGATTGACATCAGTAGGTTTCCACGGTAAAGATAATTATACAATATATGAATAGGTTATTGGTTATTGCACCTTTATTTAATTAAGTAGTCCGTAGAGCGAATGTACCAAGTCGTGTTCAATTATGAGTCCATTGTGATGGGGCCTGGAAACAACCGCCCATGTTTGTGTGAGTGTTTGCATATCTCTCTGAGACCTGGTTCTGTGATGACAATGTACTGTCATATTTTCCTGAATGAAAAATAACACAATTAAGTCCCTTCCCCCACAAAAAATATATAGAGTACAGTATTAATGATAAGATTAATTGTGCTCCATCTTCTTCCTAATGATACACATTGATTTAACAATCACTTACTATAAATAACACAATTAAGCAGTCTTATTATTTTCCAAAAAGTGCGATATTAATCCGAAGATTAATTATGCATTATCTGCAATCCTGGCAGAGCACATTTATCTTGCATTGCCATCCCCCCTTCTTTCTGAACATTGCTGTTTATATGATAGCAGGTCTGATGCCTCTGCTTAAAAAAAATCATTTCTTTGTTTGTACCAAGCTATGCATACCACACAGGAGTCTAGAATGCAATTCGAAGTATTGCCAGCCCAAAAATAGTCCACAAAAAATCCGTGTTAAGATTAAAGTGATCTTTTTTTTTAGGCATCGACAATTTCTGGAATTTGAATAGGCATTCCAACGAAGCTCTAAACGCATTGCTCTAACGTTCAAAAAGGCATATGTTTACGCATAATCTTGCTGCGCATGCCTATCTGACTTCATAAGCGGACAGCATATGGTAATTAAAATCAGCGGGAAATGCAGTATTTTGGCTTGAACCATTTCACAAAGAGAATTTGATTTTATGCTGATGCATTTAAATGAATATTTTTAGCACATGCTGCATTTATTTAAATGAATTGACGTCTTGTTTGAGACCTGTGTGCACATTAAACGGAAGCTGAAGATTTAATGCATGCTAATTGAAAGTATAAAAAAACAATACCCAGAAAAAGTTTAAAAGCCTTCTGCATCTGCTGCTCCAATGAACAACTCTCCAGAGCTAGGAACAAAGGTTCAATGAGAAGTATATGCTTTTCTGAGTATTTTTTTAAGAAAAACCCCAGCGACATAAATTATAAGACATACTTAATATAAAAATGCACATCATTACATTTAAACGTAGTACCAAATCGTGTTACAGTAATCGTGTGCACCAAATATCATTTTGTGAGCATATTTAAAATGTATTATGTATGCCATTCACATGTATCGCACTTTGTCGCTCCCCATCTCATCTACAAAATGTTGCCTCCAGGGTAAGAAGCCGCTCTTGAGCGTGGTGGCTCCCGTCACATCCCAGCAGCTTTCTCACTCCCGCTCTCCATCTGTCTCTTCTGCCCTTCGACTCTCCTCCCATTTTACTTGTTCCCTTCGGCTCTCCACCCCCAACCCTGCACACCCCCCCCCCCCCTCGCATCATCTCCCCGTGTGCCCCCAGGGGAACGTGTCCTTTGCGTGCGCCGAGCCGCGGGTGGTGCCCATTACGTTCCCGCTGCCCGGCAGCTCCCTGTGGCTGTGGGGGCCGGCGTGGCACGAGGCGCTGTCCGTGGTGCTGGAGCTGCGCACGTGGAGCGCTCGTGGGACGCTTGTCTACACGGCCTTCTCGCCCGCTGGCCCGCGGGCGTCCTCCCTGAGCATCGGTCTGGACGATGGCCGCCTCACCGTGACACTTTTGCAGCCGGGCCGCGACGCCCTGCACCTGTCTGCCGGTGTGTGGGTGTGTGTGTGGCTGCGGTGGCGGTGCGCGCATGATGGCTGCCATTAGGGAGGACGGTTAGGAAGGTCAATGGATGTGGATGGTTGAACAAAAGCTGAAAGGCGTGTTACACACAGGGAATATGTGTTATACCGCCATCCTAACGATATCTCGAGTGGACATGATGTGACTCATAAAACTTAATGTCTCGATTAAATGACTTGTCAACAAGAAATTGGCGCAAGTCATGGCTTTAGTGAAGCGGTGGCAGTCTTTGTGCCATATCTGTGAGGTGGGGCATGGAGATTGCCTCCTATTACGTGGGCTTTATTGGACAGATTTGGAACGTGCAAAAGTCGTGTCATTGTTGTGGCCCAGCCGAGTAGCGTCATTAGCACCTTAGCAAATAAATAAATAAAAGATCACTAAGTTAACTCGCTTAGAAAGTTCACCGTGTGAATACAGGGCCCAACACAACTAGCAATGTAGAGCCATGTAATGGATGCTTCACTTTGAAATGTTATATTTTGGTTAATCTCGGCCAGAAGGTCTACATATCAATACATTTTCTCACAGCATTTTAATTTAATATTATTTAGTCGATTGAGAGAGCCCAGTGGGATGTATTATCTTTTTGTATAGGACAATGTTATGGTTTGGGTCTGGATTAGATGGACTGCATGGATTCTCCAGTCTATGGAGAGTTAAAATTGAAGGCTTTTGTATCCTTTGTTATTAAGTGAATGTTGCATGAGCTGTGTGTGATTGATCATGTTTGTTGTGCGAGTACGTACAGAGCGATCGGCACTATTGCGCATGTTTGGCTTATGCTCAGTATCAAATACTATTCAAACCAATGTAAGCATTTCATTTGTTACGTTTAATGGTAATTGAAATTGAACTACAGCAAGACCAGCTAAATAATATACAGCTATGGAATAAAGGTCACGTGCTAGGCACTATTTCAATGTTAGCACATAAAAGCAAACCGTTCCGGTTTTTTTTATTAAGAACAATTGTTTTCAATGTGTGATTGGGAGCAGTATTTCAAATGATTACATTCTCATTGTCGAAGATAGAATTATTGAATTAATGAACCCGGTACCGCCCAATCATTTTTTTAACTCCGTGTTATTTTATTTTTTCTGACTACAGCGCCTGAGCATAATTGCGCAGCGAGATGGCTTTATGCTGTGAATCACTAAACAGAGTTACTCATTTTTTATTTAAAGCTTTCGTGACTGCAGGGATTCATATTCTTGGTTCTTTCGGTAAAGTCACGTAGAAGGGAAACAATAAAAAACATATATAAAACAATAAAATTACTCATGTTTACTGCATTTCCACTCACCGCTTACTTCGCCCATCCACAATGCAGGCTCAGATCTGAACGACGGCCAGTGGCATTCCGTGAGTGTCTCACTACGGAGGAACTTTGTCGGTGTGACCCTGGATGGGGACGAAGCATCTGCCATCCAGTCGTACAACCCGCTGGACATACTGACGGGGGATGTTTACTACCTCGGAGGTAAGGGTGGATAGTGGTGATGAGGGGCAGATGGTAAGAAAGAGTATGCGGCAGAGAGGACAGACACTAGGGCATATTGTTAATGTGTGATTATTGCTTTCAGGATTGGAGACCGTCTGTTGTGATGTGCCCTTACTTAATTCATTCTTCTCTCTAGGAATTAAACAATCACATGGTCCAGTGATGGCTTGAACGAAAACAAAATTGTCCAAGTGCAGCTGATACAAGTCATTAAACAGCTTTGACTGTGTCTTGCCTGACAGTGACATGGAAACTGCAATGCTCAATTTCCTTCTCAGGCCACACCTGGTCTAGGGAATGTGCAAACGCAGACCAGATGACTTTAGTCTCACCAGCGTGGGGCTTTGCTACTTTGTGCTGTCATCAATTCATGGGTGGGTCTTGCCGATTGGCTTGATGAGTTTCTGAGGATGGAGCTCATTTAGCAAATCCAGGTGGCTCTAGTCATAGGAGACTGTAGTACTCTTGCACTGGTTATTGCATTGTTTACGTCTCTTAAAATGTTTTGTCGCTTTCTCACCCGATTCTAAGCCGATTGCACTACCCGTGTCATCTAGAGACAAAATATTCATTCAGATATTTCACAGTGCAACCCTTCATATAGAGAACGATCCATGGAAGCAGATATGATAAGAGATATATATGATACAGTGAAACCTTGGATTGCGCGCATAATTCGTTCCGGAAACGTGCTCGTAAACCAAAGCACTCGTATATCAAAGCGAATTTCCCCATAAGAAATAATGGAAACTCAGATGATTCGTTCTTCAACCCAAAAATACTGTATTCATATAAAAATGATTAATACAAAATACCTTTTTATATTTTTATTATTTAAATTTAATATAAAGTAATCAAATTTATTAATTACATTTAATCGTGGCTGGTGTGAGGGAGACGAGAGAGAGGGGGAGGAGGGTTATTGTGTAGGACGATTTTCACTTACAGTACAGTTACTAAAGAACAGTCACTACACTTGGACACAAATAAAAAAAATGCTTTACGCACACACACGTGGTCACAACAATATAGTACTGTATTAAACAGTATACACGTGGTCACAACACTATAGTACTGTAGTGAATAGTATACACGTGGTCACAACACTATAGTACTATAGTAAACAGTATACACGTGGTCACAACACTATACTGTAGTAAACAGTATACACGTGGTCACAACACTATAGTACTATAGTAAACAGTATACACGTGGTCACAACACTATACTGTAGTAAACAGTATACACGTGGTCACAACACTACAGTACTATAGTAAACAGTATACGCTCGCACGGATGTTGACTATAAGAGTGAGGCACGCCGACTGAGACTGAGCATGGGAGATGATTACCCACAATTCCGCAGCGAGAGAGAGAGAGAGAAGAACCATTGGCTCAGATGTGATCACGTGACGCTTGGCAGACAAAGCGTATACTGCACGTACTGCTCGTATTGCAAGACATCGCTCGTTTATCAAATCATTATTTATTTAAAAAATTTGCTCGTCTTGCAAAACACTCGCAGACCAAGTTACTCGCAATCCAAGGGTTTACTGTATCCCTTCAAGTGACCTCTGGTCCACACACAGTAGCAAGCAGAGCTATCCTGCTCGCCCTGCGGGTAGGACAGGAAAACTAATATTTTTACTCAGCAAATGTAAGCGCAGAACCAAATTTAATGTGATGTGTGTTTTTTTCTTCTATGCAGTCATTGGTGACACAACCGAGACCATTAACTCCCTGAACTTCACTTTAATCCCAGGTGGCTTCCTGGATCTCAGCAGCGCCAACTGAGCGCTCTAACCTCTGAACCACTGGACCACATCTAAGACGTCCCTTGTATTGTCACTGCTGGGGACTGGAAGTCTGCTGCACTTTAGTGAGAGCGAGAGTTGCCCATGGCAATGAATGCTTAAATAAGGTGCAATTTGTCACGGTGCCCTTTGTGGTCCGTGCAGCTGGCAGAGAAGACTTGGGCATAAATAAATATAAATAAATATGTATTAAGCCAAAATGGATGCACGGCAAGAGAGAAGCCCACAGGACCAGAGTCGAGCCAAAACGAGAAACCGCAAAGCGAAACACACAACAACTTAGCCCAAAGTCAGAATCTTTCACGGCGCCAGTCGAAATTGGCGCTGACCAACAAACATAACTGTGTCTTATGTGGCACGTGAGCGATTAGACTGTACCAGCACGACCATACATTAAGCCTGTGAGCACTGATGGATTGGAGTGCCTGCCCCATGGCAGGTGTGGCAGCCTGTGTTGTTGGCAGCACGTCTGTTTGGATGAAATTGGGACAATTTAAATATGGAGCAAAGTGGATTAATTTGTTCTTTTTTTTGTATTGTAAAAGGTATTCACCGCACACAGTTGGGGTGGCACGGTGGCGAGATGTTAACTCCCTCGCCTGGTATGCAGGAGGTTGAGGGTTCAATCCCGACCCTGATACCTGTGTATTTGGAGTTTTCATGTCTCTCTCCCCGTGGTTGCAAAGACTTGTATCCGGGTCCTCTGGTTTTGCCCTCCATATTTAGAAACGTAAGTTTATAGTATTTGGCTGCTGTACATTTCTACATAAGCCAATTTGCTTTTATGTATCTATGTTGAACGTCTTTCGCACTGTACCTAGCCAACCATGCTAATCAGAGGTGCTATCATTTGTGGCCAGCTCGCTTCTGAAAAAAAGAGAAATATAGCTCAGTCGGACTTACCTGGTTAAAGAATAATAAATAGTTCAGTTTAAAAGTTAAATAATGTGTTTACTTATTTATCGGGTCAAAAAGAGGTTTCAAACGATTCAATATATACAGCATGTTTTATGTTTTGCTTCCGTTGCCAATTCCTGCAAACTCCATAACAGTTAAGTGCTACATTGTGTGCTATGGATTTTCTGAAAAGGATTGTAAACTACAATGAATTTGAAAGCTCATTTAAAGTTATTTAATAAATAGATCATGTGATGTTACAGTTCATGGTTTGCGTAAATAAGTACTAAGGAATACAGTTTATAATGTTGATTATATGTTAAGATTATTGCTTACATCAATTAGGAGCTACGTAATTGGAAGATGCCGTAAGGGTGCATTCAGTAAAGATAGCCAAGGTACAATATTCCAGCTTCAGTTAACTTGACCTTAAGGAGCAATTCGTGCTGATAAAGCATTGTTAAGGTGTGAGAGAAAAATAAACACGAAAAAATGATGCACAACAACAAACTACGTTTTTTTAGAGAATGTCACGTTGGGTGCATTACAGATAGGCTTGGAAACACAGACTGGCACAATGACCATAATAATACAAATTCTGTCTCAGCAAATCATCATCTTCTGGAGCTCTGCAGCAGATGTCCAAATTTATAACAAAGGTGTTGTTTTACCAGATGAAGTTTAACTACATTTGTGTGTGTTTGTGTGTGAGGTTATACTGGGGATCGTTGTCTTTTTGTGTATGTGTACCTAGCATGGCACAAGCACCGTGATGACGTCACCGCCACTTAGTGGTGAACGGCGGTTGTTCCTGTTGTTTTTGTGTATGTATAGTGACGTAAATGGAGTCACGAGGGCGCTTTGTGCTAGCTACTGTCACAAGAGTGGAACTGTGCGTCTTGAGCCTCTCTCTGGCACCAGAGTAGCTATGGCATGGAAGCGGGCCCTAGGGGGCATGGTTCTGGTGATGGTCAGAGAGAGCGCAAGTAAGGACGTGACAGTCTGGGTGAACCCGAGAGGGCACGTGACCGGGACAGGGTAGCGAGGGGGCCCAAAGGGTGGCTTGAGGGACACGTTATGCTTGGTCGAGAACCTTCTGGGAAGATCCAGAAGGGGGTGTGGCCAAAGGCAGAGCGGGGCCACGCTTGGGAGCATAAAAGGGAGGTCTCGAGAGCAATCGCGGCTGTCTGTTGGAATGGAACCCGTCGGTGCTACGTCTCTTCGATTTTCAGTCTTCGGTCTTTAAACTCAGCATCGTGGGTCAGGCAGTGTGTTAGCTGACTGACCCGGTTATGTAGTTACCCCGTTGTGGTCTAGTTAACCAGTGTACGTTAATGTAGTTACCCTGTTGGGGTCGTGTAATGAACGTGTTGCCTCCAAGGTCACGTGTGTGCCTCCGTAGAACCCACTACATATTTATGTAGATGTGTGCATTCACACGTGCGCATGTATGCGTGTAAGTATCGTATGGCCTGGTGGCGCAGTGATTAGCACATCGTGCTATGAACCCAGCGACCTGAGTTATATTCCTTCTCAGGGTCAGCATCAGTGATGAACATTGGAACCAGTCCTGGGTCAAACCAGCCTTACATGAGTGATTGGTGCAATGGGACCGGGCGTGGTGCGAGGAACACCAGCCCATCTTGTGCCTTGCAGGGCTTTAATGGTGTTCGCTAAGCTATTAAACAAAATATTTGTTTTATTTACCAAGTAAGGCCTACTGAGCAATATAGCTCCTTTTTCAGAAGTGACCTGGCCACAAGTGATAGCTCAATGAAGTGGCTTATCATGTGGCAATGTATTGCAACCAAATACTCTACACGCATGTTTCGAAATGTGTAGGAAAAAAAACCGGAGGACCTGGAGAAAAATCCACACGATCACAGGGAGAGAGACATGCAAACTCCAAATATATAAGCATCAGGGCTGGAATCGAACCCACAACCTCCTGGATATCAGACGAGGGAGATGAAGCACTTGTCTCAACGGCCTGTGTAGGCTAAAACAAGGGATCTTTGTCTCTTGCGTGTGGTGTGGTGTGGTGCTGGTCAGGATGTCCGGCAGTGGCAGCGCCAGGACAGTGCCGGGCTCCACATGGCTCGTTCCTCGGCTGCCTGCGCTCCATACGCATCGCCGAGCAGGACCTGGACATGGGTCTCGTGGAGCAGGGCATGCTGGGAAATTTTACCGGTGCACAGCTCAACACGTGTGGCATCCTCGACAGGTGCGGACTGGAGCGTGCCATGCATACGCGTGATTTCTGTAACGCTTTGCAACACGGATTTGTCCTGTGAAGTGTTTTTTTCACGAGTGTGTATTATGTACGATGACATTTGATCAGAAACATGGACATGAACATTTCAGGAGAGAACTACAGGACTTAGGATGTTTGGGTGCCGTGGTGGCGAGAAGTTAAATACCTCACCTGGTATACAGGAGGTCGTGGGTTTAATCCCAACCCTGACACCTGTATATTTGGAGGTTGCATGTTCTCCCGAAGGTCGCATAGACTTTTCTCTGGGTTTTCTGGTTTTTTCCCACCACATTTAGAAACTTGTATTTAGAGTATTTGGCTGCAATACATTTCCACATGATAAGCCACTTCATTGAGCTATCATTTGTGCCAGGTCACTTCTGAAAAGAGATCTATATTACTCAGTAGGGCTTACCTGATACAATAAAAGTTAGTAATAGTTAGTTTTAGCAATTTCCAGTTGAGTGTTTCTATATCTGGAAAGAAACTGAAGTACCTGGAGAAAAGACATGCACAAGGTGATAATACAAAAAATAATCCAAAGGCCATTAAGATCATTTATATTCTGCCATCTACTACATAGCTTTTAGATCTGCAGGTTGGGTGTTTTACTTAAACATAATTATCCAAAAAATCTAATGTGTGAGGTCTGGATCACAGGTGTATATTGCCATGCTTGGCAATTTATGCGTGCATTTATTGTGCAAGTGTTTGATCATTAATAATAGGGTTTTCCCCTTTTTTCTGGCAACAAAATTGAAATCTTTTTACAAGGATTCATGTCTGCATTAACCACAATACTTATAGTCAAAATGCAAACAAAAAACACTGATAATATATGCATTGTCCTTGAAACTGATTGGTCCACACCAGAGACAGGTTTCTTTTGAGCCTCGTCTCAATTTGTGCTCGACCAGATGACGCCAAAGGCGTACCTTATTGTTTCCTTTCAACGTGACTTTACCGAAAGAACCAAGAATATGAATCACTGCAGTCACGAAAGCTTTAAATCAAAATTTCTTCATAATTCGGCTCACATTAGATGTGAACATTTTACTCAAGATTCTGAAATTGTTTAAGTGGTAATAATAAATAAAATCCACATTTGCCACAAGCAACTGGTAAAATATTGCAAGTAGAATAGGCTCAAAACTGAACACATCTCAAACGTGTGTTTTTCTAAAGATTGCAGTGAGTAGATGGAAGGGGTTACTATGTTTTTCCTGGCAAGTTTTACAGACCTACGTGGCTTTTCATGCAACCTTTCCATTAAACACAATAGCTGATAAACAATATTTGACATTTGCTTCTGACATTTCAACTTGGAAGCTCTTTTACAGCCATGCGGTTGGCTGCTGACGTTTCCTTGCCCCTCATTAACAGAGGGCACTTCACACGTAAATGATACCAAGGCCAGCATACCTCCCCAGAAATATTGCACATGCAAGGGGTGTGCAGCGATCACATCGTTTTTACCACACACCATCTGTCTCTGCCCAACATGATGTATGTGACAATATACATGATGCTGGGTTCTTTCGGTGAACAAGCAAAAAAAGTGTATACAACGCTTATGATCGTAAGCCTTGGGTGGAATAAAGCATAACAAAAACATTTGAACAATTAATCTGGATTTTCGCTTCCAGATTATATGAAATCTGATTGAATTGAGATTATTTTCGGTGCCATGAAAGAGGGAGAAATACAATTTACAGTCATATAAATGCTGCCTGATGGGCTTGCATCAGCTCTCTGATGTTTAAAATTCAATCGGCAGAGTTGAATTGTAATGGCTGTCCGATAGATGCGGCCACCAGGGGACTTTGCAGCGAGGCTCCCGCACACTTTATTCTGGTGCCCGAGGCTCGCGTGGACGTGACATTCTCAGTGCCTCGGTGGGGTTTTTTTTTTAATAACCTTAGCATTGCCTTTTGTTGCCAAAAGTGATATTTTAGTACGTTGACTGTTCGTGGGCTTGCAATATTTTATCTGCTTGTGTGGATGTTTGTTTATTATGTATGCTCCGCGTGCATGTGCGTGCTTGTTGTGTGTGCGTGCGCGTGCACGTGCATATTCCTCATTTAAATACTTGCGAAGGAACGCTGTTCGTTGTTAATAAGTCCATTTTGAGAATGCCATGTATATTTTGCCGTGCGTCAGCGAGGTTAATGAGACTACAAAGAATGTTATTTACGGACGTTATTTTAATGACGGTTTTTCTTTTGTCATTTATTTCTTTGTAACCTTTTTCGCAAGCGAATATTAGTAGCCAGATTACCAGTAATATATGTAGCACTCGTGTGAACGGCTGGATTTGTTTTAAATCATTCATATTTAAAATATAGGGCTGAAAGGAGAGCAGTGTCGTGTGCATGTTTGACTATTATTACCTTTGCTTAGTGGGCTTTGTTACCATTCTAAACACATACGCTGATTGGAATTGGACGACGAATAGAATATTATCACTTCAAAATCACGGTGATTGGAAAGATGTCAGTGTGGATCCTTTGAACGTTTAAGTAGTAATTTACATTCGTTATGACTGCTAAAGAACGATGATTATACCGGTCGTTGGGTGTTTCACAGGAATGTGTTACAGAACTGGCCAGGCGGCTCAGCATTAGAGACAGCGGCTCGCCATCAGAAGATCATGAGCTCAAATCTTGTTCGGATTTAACTCGGCCCATAATCCCTGAGGGGTCGATAAAATTTGTAGCACTTCGTGGCGAAGTCAACAGTGGTTGTTCTACATGTAGATTTCCCCCCACCCTAGGAATTAATGTGAAATATTCACCCCGTGGGCTGTGAACAGATGAGCACCACTCCAATACTCGTTTGAGAAAAAAACATCTCTCTTTGGATGATGATTATGATGACGATCATGATGATCTAATTTTAAATATAATAAATCAAACGAAATTAATTAGTCAGGAAAACCAAAAACCCAGTCTAACGATTTGTTCTTAAGGAGGGTCATGTTTAAGGTGTGTGGGTAATCGCTTGTCATTTTATAATTGTATTTATTTGAATAACTCAAAAATACCGGAAAATACCCATACATGTGAGCGGATAACTATTACAACTTTGAATAGTTAAAATAGGACCCTACTTATTGGTGCTACCTTCAGGCACCTCACTGCCCTACAGGCATGTGTCATGTAGACGTAATGGGCCTGTGCACGATTTTCCAATCTCGCCTCCAAAGCTCTGAGGTTACAGGCCTGTACTACCACCACCACCACGCCTGGTAGCATGACCAGTGGAGGTATTAATAACAAATGTGACCAGAGACGGTATTGGACAATTCTGCCGATAAAGTTCCCTCTATAAGGCGGGCCAGTGTCCCTCTCAGAGATGAGAGTAAGAGATCATAGTCCCACGGTCGTTTATAAATAGCACTTCGATTTTTACCTTAAAAAACATGAGATGCGCTTTTAGCACGACAGACGTTATTTAATATTCATTTTTGTATTTAATAGCGTCACACCGCTGAAACTCTAAATCGCTGTTATTTTTTTTATATGAAATGAATCTACGTTAATAAATCTTGCTGAAAGAAAACATTGGGCTTAATGAATTGATGTGGCATTTTGATTATGTTTTACAGTAGGAGATTTAAAAAAAAACACGATGACTTACAAATGCTACTTGATGTTGCAAATGGCACCATGTGGGCTGCTGGGCGTTGCCTGCGACGCGGCTGACAGGTCTAAAATGAGTCATTCTACAGTGAGGGAAAAAAGTATTTGATCCCCTGCTGATTTTGTACGTTTGCCCACTGACAAAGAAATGATCAGTCTATCATTTTAATGGTATGTTTATTTGAACAGTGAGAGACAGAATGACAACAACAAAAATCTAGAAAAACGCATGTCAAAAATGTTATGAATTGATTTACATTTTAATGAGGGAAATAAGTATTTGACCCCTCTGCAAAACATGATTTAGTACTTGGTGGCAAAACCCTTGTTGGCAATCACAGAGGTCAGACGTTTCTTGTAGTTGGCCACCAGGTTTGCACACATCTCAGGAGGGATTTTATCCCACTCCTCTTTGCAGATCTTATCCAAGTCATTAAGGTTTCAAGGCTGACGTTTGGCAACTCGAATCTTCAGCTCCCTCCACAGATTTTCTATGGGATTAAGGTCTGGAGACTGGCTAGGCCACTCCAGGACCTTAATGTGCTTCTTCTTGAGCCACTCCTTTGTTGCCTTGGCCGTGTGTTTTGGGTCATTGTCATGCTGGAATACCCATCCACGACCCATTTTCAATGCCCTGGCTGAGGGAAGGAGGTTCTCACCCAAGATTTGACAGTACATGGCCTCGTCCATCGTCCCTTTGATGCAGTGAAGTTGTCCTGTCCCCTTAGCAGAAAAACACCCCCAAAGCATAATGTTTCCACCTCCATGTTTGACGGTGGGGATGGTATTCTTGGGGTCATAAGCAGCATTCCTCCTCCTCCAAACACAGCGAGTTGAGTTGATGCCAAAGAGCTCCATTTTGGTCTCATCTGACCACAACATTTTCACCCAGTTGTCCTCTGAATCATTCAGATGTTCATTAGCAAACTTCAGACGGGTATGTATATGTGCTTTCTTGAGCAGGGGGACCTTGCGGGCACTGCAGGATTTCAGTCCTTCACGGCGTAGTGTGTTACCAATTGTTTTCTTGGTGACTATGGTCCCAGCTGCCTTGAGATCATTGACAAGATCCTCCCGTGTAGTTCTGGGCTGATTCCTCACCGTTCTCATGATCATTGCAACCCTACGAGGTGAGATCTTGCATGGAGCCCCAGGCCGAGGGAGATTGACAGTTCGTTTGCGTTTCTTCCATTTGCGAATAATCGCACCAACTGTTGTCACCTTCTCACCAAGCTGCTTGGCAATGGTCTTGTAGCCCATTCCAGCCTTGTGTAGGTCTACAATCTTGCCCCTAACATCCTTGGAGAGCTCTTTGGTCTTGGCCATGGTGGAGAGTTTGGAATCTGATTGATTGCTTCTGTGGACAGGTGTCTTTTATACACGTAACAAGCTGAGATTAGGAGCACTCCCTTTAAGAGTGTGCTCCTAACCTCAGCTCGTTACCTGTATAAAAGACACCTGGGAGCAAGAAATCTTTCTGATTGAGAGGGGGTGAAATACTTATTTCCCTCATTAAAATGCAAATCAATTTATAACATTTTTGACATGCGTTTTTATGGAATTTTGTTGTTGTTATTCTGTCTCTCACTGTTCAAATAAACCTACCATTGAAATTATAGAGTGATCATTTCTTTGTCAGTGGGGAAACGTACAAAATCAGCAGGGGATCATATACTTTTTTCCCTCACTGTAGACAGGTCTCAAACGACTTATGGACGTTGACTAGCATAGCAACAAATGCAAATTGCATATCAGAGTGATCAATGGAAATAAAGCACAGGAAATTAATGAAGAACTTAACAAAGGAGGCTGCAAAGTTTGGCTAAAGATAAATGAGGAAAACAAAGCACTGTATTGTACAGTATAAAAGATTCACCTATGAAACGGAAACAATGTTTGGAGGAACATGGCTGAAAACACGATAGATCATGTATACCAAGGGCAATTATTGAAGGTGTGTTTACCGTGAGCATAATACTTTACCTGGCATGCATAGTCAGTCACTATTATTTAAATACAGATTTTTAAAAAAATTATATTCAAATTACAGTAGCCCATGTTACTTTTATTTTTGTGAATGTCGAGTAGCATTTTCTGTTTGCTTTTTAAACATGTTCGGTCACATAAATTACATCTTTTCAGAAATTCCTCACTTAAAATAAAATATTGGTTATAAATGTCCCCGAAATCACTGTCATTTACTGCAAGTCGGTATATTTATTTCAAGCTACAACCTTAAATAATTAGAAAATTAATGAGACAATTAACACCTGTGCTTTATGGTACAATTTTTATTTGGGCTATTGTGTCTCTGCGAGGAGCAGTGTGAGGGTGCTACGAAGGGAGAGATCCAGGGAGCGAAAGAGAAAGTGTTTGCACAGGTTTATTGGCTCACTGTTTGTTTGACGTTACCCAGGTGCCTCCCAAACCACTGCGAACACGGAGGGCAATGCAGCCAAGAGTGGGACTCATTCTTCTGTGATTGCGATGGCACAGGATACCTGGGAGACACCTGTCACAATCGTGAGTCTGTGAGCACCTTCACACTCCATCCAGGTGTCAGAGCTGTGAAACGGGTGCAACGTTGTTAACCGCAGAGTGCCAGAAATGTCCTTTGCCAGTTTGGCAGTCATTAAAACCACAAAAAAACAAAACACTGTTGGATATTCAGGTTTCTGTGCATTTGTGAAATGAGGTGCATTGAAGCGGCATTTATGAAAACGGGAAGAAATTGAACATTTTGCAGGTGTGCAGCATTTCCCCACCGCCGCTCGTCGCAGCCATGAGTTTGCTGTGACCCACAGTTAATAGCTTACTGTGACAAAAACCTTGTTAAGAGGTGTGTCGCCGATTTGTATTTCATTTGCACCCTGCCGAGGTTTCATTTTAACGGTGGCTTCTCAACGTCGCGTTGGCAGTTGGCGTGACAGGGGAGGGCGTTGTAGATGGTGGATTTTGGCAACTTGAAGGGGCCCCTACGGCACTATAGCTTTTACTCCATAAAACCATCAATGGCACACCAAGGGCTTGGCACCAGCAAGTTGCGCTAATATGTCTATTTATAACACTCGCGGCCAATGCTGTTTCCTGGCATCTTTTCGACATCGCGCTAGTGTGCAATTTTGAACATCAATTTATAAGCTTTTTTGTGTGTCGCCCTGCGAGGATATAACTCCGTGTGCTGTTGTATGTATTTATCACGACACTTATTGCGAATACATTTAATCCACTGTGCCTGTGCAATAGGGATGACCCCATCACAAATCCCAGCAGGCTGCAGCATAGATGCTTACGTAGGAGTGCTATTGAAGAGCAGGCAAAAGGATGTTGTGGATGTTTGCCAATTTGATTGTATTCTGCAGCCATTGGCCATAGGTTTTTGTTTTGCAAACGCACACCAAGGCCACCGATGTGTTTGTTGTGGATATAATTTGTATGAATTTGGATGAGCCATACTCAGCCCACAGTATCACAGGTAAGATATTGGATTGAATTTGTTTACAGCCAAATGTGCCGCAGTTACAACTTTAAATTATACAAATGTGTTTGTGTGAAAATAGTTAATAACATCGGTGCCAGTGTGTTTTTGGACTTGTAAATACACCATGCAGTTCATTTGACCGACTGAATGAGTGAAAGTGAGCATCATTGACATCTCACTGCCAAATGGAGTTGCTTATATAACGATGCCGTGGTGTGGAGTAGGACCGAATTTCACGGTGCGGTCCATTTCCCACTGAGTAATTGCGTGATCGTAGTTTCATCGGGCGAGGGGAGTTGACACGTGCATGTGTTGGTGAGTTTGACATAGGAGGGGGAGAATAAACAACAACACAACAACAAAAGGGCACCCAGGTGCCTGACGTGGCTGCAGTGGCTTGAACGCCTATACTGGCCACTTCCTGTGCGGTCCCCTCTAGCCGTGTTCGAGCGGTCCTGCGAAGCGTACAAGCACTTGGGTGGCACGTCCGGCTTCTACCACATCGACCTGGATGGCAGCGGTCCTCTGGGCCCTCTGCTCGTTTACTGCAACGTCACAGGTGCGAGGCAGAACGACCGTCGGGAATGCCGCCCTGCCACCATTATCGTCGTCGTTAATAAGCGCTGCCTTGCAGAGATTCATGATGAGCCGCAGTCACATGTTGGGCTGTGACCCTTCCTTCTCAGAGCATAGGGCCAGGGAATCAGAAGACGGTCACTTGGAATAATGCATCATTTTCCAATGTCACACCAACAGAAGATTGATATTTGTAGAGGGAAAAAATATGTTGCTTTATAAAAAAAATTCCATCAGCAGATGTTTGGAAGCAAACTATTCTGGTTAATAACTATACTATGTTTAAGCATTTGTGTTCGAAAACATGTAAAAATAACTATACATAAGTAAACATTTTTTGATGCCAATTATTAATCAAATATCACTGTTTTTACACGCCACAGGCTTTCCAGGATATGAAATGTTAATTTATCTCTGAAGTAATGGCTCTTTGCGCCCATCTCTCACTCTACATCAGGACCCTTTGATATAGTGTTGACGTATTAAGATGCAAGGCAGTGTTCATGAGCATCATCATCAGATATGTTCTACCCATTTCTGGATAAAGACCTCCCCGAGTCGTTGCCATCCCTCACGGTCTTGTCATGCAATGCGCTATCCAGCTCCTGCACCTGTCAAGATGCAATCCCTCTGTCTCCACGGGAGTCATACCCCGGGGCGTGCGCATCCTTCACTTGCTACTTCATTGTCAGATTCGACCATTGGCCATCGTCCCTTGTACTGAAGTGTCCTGTATATTGTACGTATGTATGTTGAGCTTCTTTCACACTGTACGTAGCCAACCGTGCTAATCGGAGGTGCGGGGGGAGGACACATTCGCTGGCTTTCCTTCAGGGTTTGTGTGAAATCTCTCCTTTACATTTGTGCTCTAATCTAACGTGCTTCTCTTCCTGTCTCAGTGTTGTTCCACGCATGCTTTGTGCACTTTTCAGCTTCTGTTTTATTTTCCTTGTCACTGTCCATTTTTCAGTTTAAATTATTTTCACGTAATGTGTACTGAGAGAAAACTATATTATTTAAGCACACTGGTTTGTTGTTTTTCATTCTCAAGTGCAGTTTTACAAAAGCACTCCAACCTTCTCACACTTTACTCTATTTCATCAGATCGATCCCAGTCCATCATCAATAATGTTCATAGGCTCACATACTCTCATATATTTTCCAAACTTGTCCCTCCAACAAATATCTTCATTTGTTTGGTGAACTTGTTGTACATTACTTTTGTTGTTACTCATAAATATATCTTGAGCCCAGCTTTGCAGTCTTGTCTTACTCAGTTACTGCAGCATATTTTATAGTGACAATGTCATCAGCAAATCTGAGCTCGTTAATATTTTCACCGTCTATGATTTCATTTCTCCAAACCAAAAAAATTTCGAAAATATCTTCAAATGTTATCAAGAATATTATTAGGGTTTAATAAATATATAATATTGCCCACATACAGTGAGGGAAAAAAGTATTTGATCCCCTGCTGTTTTTGTACGTTTGCCCACTGACAAAGAAATGATCAGTCTATAATTTTAATGGTAGGTTTATTTGAACAGTGAGAGACAGAATAACAACAACAAAATCCAGAAAAACTCTTGTCAAAAATGTTATAAATTGATTTGCATTTTAATGAGGGAATTAAGTATTTGACCCCTCTGCAAAACATGACTTAGTACTTGGTGCCAAAACCCTTGTTGGCAATCGCAGAGGTCAGACGTTTCTTGTAGTTGGCCACCAAGTTTGCACACATCTCAGGAGGGATTTTGTCCCACTCCTCTTTGCAGATCTTCTCCAAGTCATTCAGATTTCGAGGCTGACGTTTGGCAACTCAAACCTTCAGCTCCCTCCACAGATTTTATATGGGATTAAGGTCTGGAGACTGGCAAGGCCACTCCAGGACCTTAATGTGCTTTTTCTTGAGCCACTCCTTTGTTGCCTTGGCCGTGTGTTTTGGGTCATTGTCATGCTGGAATACCCATCCACGACCCATTTTCAATGCCCTGGCTGAGGGAAGGAGGTTCTCACCCAAGATTTGTCGGTACATGGCCCCGTCCATCGTCCCTTTGATGCGGTGAAGTTGTCCTGTCCCCTTAGCAGAAAAACACCCCCAAAGCATAATGTTTCCACCTCCATGTTTGACGGTGGGGATGGTGTTCTTAGGGTCATAGGCAGCATTCCTCCTCCTCCAAACACGGCGAGTTGAGTTGATGCCAAAGAGCTCCATTTTGGTCTGATCTGACCACAACACTTTCACCCAGTTGTCCTCTGAATCATTCAGATGTTCATTGGCAAACTTCAGACGGGCATGTATATGTGCTTTCTTGAGCAGGGGGACCTTGCGGGCGCTGCAGAATTTCAGTCCTTCACGGCGTAGTGTGTTACCAAAAGTGTTTTCTTGGTGACTATGGTCCCAGCTGCCTTGAGATCATTGACAAGATCCTCCCGTTTAGTTCTGGGCTGATTCCTCACCGTTCTCATGATCATTGCAACTCCACGAGGTGAGATCTTGCATTGAGCCCCAGGCCGAGGGAGATTGACAGTTCCTTTGTGTTTCTTCTATTTGCGAATAATCGCACCAACTGTTGTCACCTTCTCACCAAGCTTCTTGGCAATGGCCTTGTAGCCCATTCCAGCCTTGTGTAGGTCTACAATCTTGTCCCTGACATCCTTTGAGAGCTCTTTGGCCTTGGCCATGGTGGAGAGTTTGGAATCTGATTGATTTGCTTCTGTGGACAGGTGTCTTTTATACAGGTAACAAGCTGAGATTAGGAGCACTCCCTTTAAGAGTGTGCTCCTAATCTCAGCTCGTTACCTGCATAAAAGACACCTGGGAGCCAGAAATCTTTCTGATTGAGAGGGGGTCAAATACTTTTTTCCCTCATTAAAATGCAAATCAATTTATAACATTTTTGACACGCGTTTTTCTGGATTTTTGTTGTTGTTATTCTGTCTCTCACTGTTCAAATAAACCTACCATTAAAATTATAGACTGATCATTTCTTTGTCAGTGGGCAAACGTACAAAATCAGCAGGGGATCAAATACTTTTTTCTCTCACTGTACATACCGTCAATCAGATTCTGGAAAGACAATTGAATAAAACACCATTATCTCTCGCTTTTGTCGACTATTAAAGAAGCATTTCACTCACAATTCGATGCAGATATCTCATACATAATGGATGGTAATGGTATATTATGATAGTCATGTGTCTTTACACCAATATGAATGCAGTGTCCCATAAGTTTTGCTTGAAATTGTGCCCTAAGCTGTGAGCTGTGCTACCCATAGAGTAATTTAGTTTTAATTGCCCATCACCAATGGTGCACGATCCTCACTGTGATCAGCATGACAAACCACACTTGGAACTTTGCCTACTGTGGTACACAGTGCGGGGTCTGATGTTCAAACACACGTTCAAGTTTCGTGAGTGCGACACATCATTATCTCTTTGGCAGTGTAAAATTTCTTCCGTGAACTATGCCCACTGATAATCAGCTGTGTTTGCGTACACTCGTGTTTGACAAAAATAAATACACATTCGGCTGTGGTATAATGGTTAGCTCACTGGACTTGCATTCCAGTGGTAACTGGTGCTGTTCGATCCCGTGGCGCGGCAGTTGAAAACAATGGGCACGTTTCTCAAATCCTTGTGCACAAAAAAAACCTATTTTACCAGGAAAGGCCCACTGAGCTATATAGCTCTTTCAGGAGCGACCTGGCCATAAATGATAGCTCAATAAAGTAGCTTATCATGTGAAAATTTATAGCAGCCACATACTCTAAACGCAAGTATGGAGGGAGAAACCGAAGGACCTGGAGAAAAATCCAAGCGACCACTGGGAGAACATTCAAACTCCAAATATACAGGCGTCAGGGTTGGGATCAAATCCACGACCTCCTGTATACCAGGTGAGGTATTTAACGTATCGCCACCGTGGCGCCCCCAACAGTTAGTTGATCAGTAGGCCACGAGTGGTGGGTTACAGTGTGGGTACTCTCACTTCTTCCAAGATGGCTGGCCAGGCAAAAACATAGGGGCACTCTAGAGCTCCCTCTGGAGGGAGGCCCTTCCACCAGCAGGTGGCGTGAGTAAGCAATTGCAGGGCTGCGCCTTTAAATTTTTAGTGAGTATTGCTGAAGGGCAAAGCTACAGCGGAGTGCTCGGGTGTGCTTTAAGGGGTCAGATTGCCGTGCCACAGGGCCAATTGCAATGTTGGCTGCATCTAGCCTCTGTGGCCCACACCCTCCATGAAACGAATCAACAAAAGGAGCGAAATTCTCTGACTGAAATGCCCTGAGCTGCAGCCTTTGGTTGAGATGAACCTTGCTGCGCCTTTCAGTGAGGAAAAAAGTATTTGATCCCCTGCTGATTTTGTACGTTTGCCCACTGACAACGAAATGATCAGTCTATAATTTTAATGGTAGGTTTATTTAAACAGTGAGAGACAGAATAACAACAACAAAATCCGGAAAAAGGCATGTCAAAAATGTTATAAATTGATTTGCATTTTAATGAGGGAAATAAGTATTTCACCCCCTCTCAATCAAAGATATTTCTGGCTCCCAGGTGTCTTTTATACAGGTAACGAGCCGAGATTAGGAGCACACTCTTAAAGGGAGTGCTGCTAATCTCAGCTTGTTACCTGTATAAAAGACACCTGTCCACAGAAGCAATCAATCAATCAGATTCCAAACTCTCCACCATGGCCAAGACCAAAGAGCTCTCCAAGGATGTCAGGGACAAAATTGTAGACCTGCACAAGGCTGGAATGGGCTACAAAACCATTACCAAGCAGCTTGGTGAGAAGGTGACAACAGTTGGTGCGATTATTCACAAATGGAAGAAACACAAAAGAACTGTCAATCTCCCTCGGCCTGGGGCTCCATGCAAAATCTCACCTTGTGGAGTTGCAATGATCATGAAAACGGTGAGGAATCAGCCCAGAACTACACGGGATAATCTTGTCAATGATCTCAAGGCAGCTGGGACCATAGTCACCAAGAAAACAATTGGTAACACACTACGCCGTGAAGAAATGAAATCCTGCAGCGCCCGCAAGGTCCCCCTGATCAAGAAAGCGCATATACATGCCCGTCTGAAGTTTGCCAATGAACATCTGAATGATTCAGAGGACAACTGGGTGAAAGTGTTGTGGTCAGATGAGACCAAAATGGAGCTCTTTGGCATCAACTCAATTCGCCGTGTTTGGAGGAGGAGGAATGCTGCCTATGACCCCAAGAACACCATCCCCACCGTAAAACATGGAGGTGGAAACATTATGCTTTGGGGGTGTTTTTCTGCTAAGGGAACAGGACAACTTCACCGCATCAAAGGGAAGATGAACGAGGCCATGTACCGTCAAATCTTGGGTGAGAACCTCCTTCCCTCAGCCAGGGCATTGAAAATGGGTCGTGGATGGGTATTCCAGCATGACAATGACCCAAAACACACGTTCGAGGCAACAAAGGAGCGGCTCAAGAAGAAGCACATTAAGGTCCTGGAGTGGCCTAGCCAGTCTCCAGACCTTAATCCCATAGAAAATCTGTGGAGGGAGCTGAAGGTTCGAGTTGCCAAACGTCAGCCTCGAAACCTTAATGACTTGAAGAAGATCTGCAAAGAGGAGTGGGACAAAATCCCTCCTGAGATGTGTGCAAACCTGGTGGTCAAATACAAGAAACGTCTGACCTCTGTGATTGCTAACAAGGGTTTTGCCACCAAGTACTAAGTCATGTTTTGCAGAGGGGTCAAATACTTATTTCCCTCATTAAAATGCAAATCAATTTAACATTTTTGACATGCGTTTTTCTAGATGTTTTTGTTGTCATTCTGTCTCTCACTGTTCAAATAAACCGACCATTAACATTATAGACTGATCATTTCTTTGTCAGTGGGCAAACGTACTAAATCAGCAGGGGATCAAATACTTTTTTCCGTCACTGTACACACTGAGCTGCTTCATGCTGAATTGAAAGACAACAACTCCACGGGGTGGTGTGGTATTGAGCGTGGGGCTTTTGGAAGGATGAGTCTGGACTTGATGCATATTTATGAAGGTGCATGGAGAAAATGGATGCTTGGGTTTAATCTGCTTTCCACTGCAGTATCCAGCCACTGAGGCGCAAAACTTTAACATGGGCAAAAAAAGACAGATACGTGAAATGCAACCCTCTTGCTGATTGCCATTCAGATTGATGCCAAAGAGCAAGTGGCTTGCTATTGTGCACATTTAAAGAATATGTTTAAATCAACTAATAAAAAGTTAGACTGTGGGGATTTTATCCGTGGAAATGATACCGTATTTTTAAATAAACTCTTGGGGTCGTGTCGAGGTGAGCCCATCTGTGTTTCTTTATATTTATTGAAAATCTTTGCGTTTGGGTGGATCCATTCAACTGAAACGTTGAGATTAATTAAAATGGGTGCCTGGATTCACTTAGCCGCAGGACACTGGCAGCGATAATAGAAAAGCTTTTAGCACAAAATCACCATAAATTACGAGACAATACGTGGACATTTATTCTTGGAGATTGAGAAAAGAGGAGACAAGCGATCCCGGATGAATTGAGTGTGATAAATAACCACATCTTGTGGACAGACAAGCCTGATCACACATTGTACACATTATCAGTTTATATGTTGCCATTGATGCAACATTTACGAATTCTTAACACACTTTGTGCGAAATTACATTTCTGCAGTGCAGCACAGTTTTCAGTCTGAGACCCTTTGTAGTGATACCAGTTTTCATTGCGTTAGTCATCGTGTTCCCCATGTTTAACCAAAAATGTTGTGCCATATGAATGTAGAATTTCATGTGGTTAAAATTCCACATTCCTATAATGGGATGCAGCTGCCTCATAGAGAAATGACGGGCTGAGCTTTCTAACCGCAGTGCTACCTGGCCAGAATACAGCTTTATTACTATCTTTTATGTTCCAATATTCCTAAAATACAACTGTCTATTTTGTATAAATATTTCTGCTACTTTATAGGGTACAGTAATTATAGTTGTGTTACAAGCTGATCATTTTGCTGCCAATTGCCAGACTGCATGGATGTGCCATGTCTTTGAGGAGACCGCATGACTTAAGACATCCTTGATTTGGCCTTGACGCAGGGAGGGGAGAGTAGAAACCCCAGCGGGACTCTCCGTGTATGTAGCTCTGGGATAGTACACGCTACGAACCCGGCAACCTCACATTGATTCCCGCCCACAGCTAAAATAAGTTTGGAATATCTGATCCAGTCTTGAGACCTTCCCTAGGTCGCCTTAACCTTTTGCACTCCTATCGTGTTTTTGTATTGTTTGTTATTGTAATGTTCTGACCCGCCCCTGTTGGAGATCTGTGAAAAAAAAGAGGCGCACAGCTCATCGGATTCCTCCAGTATAAATACATATTCTTGATCTGAAACGAGTAGCTGGTATGGCAAGTAAACATCAGCACTGGGGAGACAAATGCGGCCACGCGTAGCGCCGACCCCACCCCACCGCCCTCGTGAGCCGTGCCACACACGGCCTTGATAGATGCTCGGCGATGGCACTTGCCTCGACAGCGAGATGGCTCCACGGGGGGGGGCCGGGGATCATTGTTACCTGTGCTGTGCGCGTGTACCTGTGGCGCTTCCCGACTCTGCCAGAGGAGCGCGTGTGGACCGTGCTGGCGCATGATGGCACCGACGAGCGCCGAGTGCCGGGGACGAGCACGGCGCTCGCCTTCGTTGCTCGATTCGTCTACAACGCCAGCTCGGAGCAACTCTCCGCGCTCGTGGAGCAGGCCGAGCAGTGCCGGCAGGAGGTTGCCTACTACTGCCGGCGCTCGCGTCTCCTCAACTCGCCCGGTGAGCGTCGACGGTCGGGGCGAATCCGCTCCGCTAATTTCTTTAAAATGAAACTACAGTGAGCTACCCCATCCCTGTTTTGTCTGCAGCTCGCTTCTCTGAATCTATCTTTTGTCCACATTTCTCTGATCGAGCTAAAACTCTTATCTATTGTCTATATCACTTCTACCATATTCTTAGCTCTTTCGCTAAAGTCACGTTGAAGGGAAACAATAAAATAATAAAATATATATAAAACTAAGAGTTTGTAATTTGAAAGAGGAACTCAAAAAAAGATTTCTGCTTTGGGCCCCCAATGGGCCAACACCACCACGGTGTCCCAGTGTGGTCTTTGCAGGTTTAGCCATGTACTGAATACATCTTCTCTCCCATGCACTTGTGCAGGCATCTTCATGAGTTTCGGCTGGTATCAGTGTGACAACCTCTGTGCTACATTGCACCTTAGTGTGTTTCACTGTAGCAGTGGTGTTCTTGCTTTTTGTGGAAAATCAGTCAATCGATCAATCTTGATTTTACGTGCCAATATCGCCCTCACTAAAGTAGGCATCAGTGCACATTACAATGGAATGGGAAAGGTCCAGGGGGCATGGAGCAACAGGAATGAAAAAAGAGAAACCCGTCACGTCCTCGGTGGCCAACACCGACTGTGCAAAGCAAATTGAAAAAAGAGCAACCGCGCGCAACGAATTGCATAAAGGAGTTAAGCAGCAAATACAAATAAATGAAATACATTTAAATGAATATTTTATTTCATGGAAAGGCATGTCTGAAAGGGGGTGAGGAAGGAGGAAGGGAGCAACACTTTGATAATTTCTTGGACTTCATTTCAGCCCCCCTCTCTCCCCATCGATTTTATACTGTAGTGCTTTCCATTTAAGGGGTGTTGCGTTTGCTGTCTGTCCAAACAGTTTGCACTCGACTGATTTCCCTTCACAGGTCATCGATGCGTCTGTGTACTACAGTCACGTTGAAAGCAGCGTCATCGTAATTATTGAATTTAAATTTGATTCGTAGCCAAGCACAACACCCGTGTCAAATGGTATCTGTACCTAGCCTGGGCCTCCCCTAGATTAACTCAGCAAAAAATGAGTACTCGATACAAAGATGTGGTCAATATCATCAAAGGGTAAGACCAAATCCATTCTAGATTTGAAGCTTTCGTGACTGCAAGGATCCACACTCTTTGGTTCTATTCGGTAAAGTCACGTAGGTAAAAATATAAAACAACAAAAATCACGACGTTTCGGCCACAACACAAGCGGCCTTCATCAGGTGTCTCGAGACAGTCTGGTCCCTTCACCTGATGAAGGCCGCTTGTGTTGTGGCCGAAACGTCGTGATTTTTGTTTTATTTTTTTACCTATGTGACTTTACCGAATAGAACCAAAGGGTAAGACCAAAGGCAGCCCGACATGATGCTGGCCTTACGAACCCGCCGTGTGTCCTCCAGACCGTGCTCGCTAACAGTAATGTCCCTGACGTTCTATAACGATAAGTGGGGGAATACACTTTTCACGTCGAAGTGACTCTGACTGCTTGAATCATTGAAACAAGAACACAAACCCACGTTGACACCGCTTGTCCTGTCCAGGGCCGGATTAAGGCATGGGGGGCTTTAGGGGCTGCAGTCCAGGAGCCCCCGCCAGCTGGAGGGCCTCCAGGGATTAAGTAAAACAGTTATTTCATTTGTGAATGCTGAATTTTATTTGTTGCTAGCCTTGTAAAAATACATTTTATTTTTCTTTAACTTTGTTTTCCTTTTAAAAATATTACTGGGCGGGGGTGGGGGGGGGGGGGGAGGTGCTCACCGTACCTGTAGCCCGGGGGCCTACAAAATCTGAATCCGGCCCTGGTCCTGCCCACCCACCCTCGTGCAGACGGGCCTCCCTTCACCTGGTGGGTCAGCAGGACCAACGAGCGGCAGCACTACTGGGGCGGCTCCAGCCCGGGCGTGCAGAAGTGTGCGTGCGGCGTGGAGCGAAACTGCACGGAGGAGCACGTCCACTGCAACTGCGACGCTGACCGTGACGAGTGGTGCGTGTCACCTCCGCAGCCCTGGCTTGGTTTGTGAGTGGTGATGGAACGGTGGTGGTGTTGTCTGGCTGTTGGTGGGTGCGCTTGCTTTCAATTTATTTTTACGAGCCCCCCTCCGTGGTGAGCATGATAACGCAGCCACCTTTTTTTATCTTCAGCGCCAGAAGAGTGGGGTTTTTTTTTTTTTTAGAGGCTGGCAATTGCTGGTCATAACACACAAACGAGAGGAGCAATGTATTTATAATTTTCTCTTTCTCACATTGAGGAAATGTTCTTAAGTGCCTATTTTAATGTACAGTTCAGACTTATAATACTGCAGAAAATCATATATTGAGGCTACGCGTGAGGCTAATGAGGCTGCAAGTTGATGTCTGCGTGCGCTGTGTGTGTAGCGGCTTGCGACTTTTTATCATGGGTGCAAATGCACTTTTTCTGTTCTGTCGTAGCACTCTGCTTCTATTATAAGACGTGATTGTATTTATTAAAGTGCTGGGGGTGCCTGTGTTTTTTCTTACTTTTTCCATTCAAAACTAAATTAAAAATAGCATTAAAATCGTAACCTGTGGCTGAGCAGCGAAAGACAGGTCAAGACAATCAATTAATATATATATCCCATGATAATAATAATCGCATAAAAAAATGTGTATACTTTTGAAACACTATACAGTCGTGCAATAGTATACGTGTTATCCATAAAATAAGCATCCATGAATGTTGATAAAACTATGCACACACGGTGGTGTGAAGATTCTATCATAGGGGCCGTCCATAAATGACGTCACGCACCTAGGGGGGGGGGAGTCAGACATTTGTGACGATGTGTGAAGAGGGGGGGGGGGTGAGAAATGTGACGTCACATCAAAATGCGCAAATTTAAATAAATATAGACAACACGTTCTACTTAAATAAATAGACTTTTAAATGAATGTTTTCTCCTACAACATCAGAGTGCAGCGGCACATTAAATACGCACTACAATGACAATAGTTTATAGCGATTTGATGCATGTTTTTTTTTTGGGGGGGGGGCAAAGCTTTGCGACGTCATATTTCCGGGGGGGGGGGTCTGACTTTTTGTGACGCCGTGTGGCAAGGGGGGGGGGTCAAAAATCGTCCAAAATCGCGTGACGTCATTTATGGACGGCCCCATACACGTCTCATCTCGAAACCTCCGCGTATCAGCCGCGGCGTTGGCGACACAAATCGCATCAAGATTTCAGAGTCACGGGTGGTACACCTATTATCTTTAGTGTACAAGCAATATATTGCCAACACCTTCGACTATAGCAGTTCACACTGCTTTGTAATAACTCGAGCAATTGATGATACCTTTACGGACACCCCCCAACATGTGGGCACGTATGTCTGGAAAGTAGTTTAAACATACAGTGAGGGAAAAAAGTATTTGATCCCCTCCTGATTTTGTACGTTTGCCCCACTGACAAAGAAATGATCAGTCTATAATTTTAATGGTAGGTTTATTTGAACAGTGAGAGACAGAATAACAACGACAAAAAATCCAGAAAACCGCATGTGAAAAATGCTATAAATTGATTTGCATTTTAATGAGGGAAATAAGTATTTCACCCCCTCTCAATCAGAGATATTTCTGGCTCCGAGGTGTATTTTATACAGGTAACGAGCTGAGATTAGGAGCACACTCTTAAAGGGAGTGCTCCTAATCTCAGTTTGTTACCTGTATAAAAGACACCTGTCCACAGAAGCAATCAATCAGTCAGATTCCAAACTCTCCACCATGGCCAAGACCAAAGAGCTCTCCAAGGATGTCAGGGACAAGATTGTAGACCTACACAAGGCTGGAATGGGCTACAAGACCATTGCCAAGCAGCTTGGTGAGAAGGTGACAACAGTTGGTGCGATTATTCGCAAATGGAAGAAACAAAAGAACTGTCAATCTCCCTCGGCCTGGAGCTACATGCAAGATCTCACCTCGTGGAGTTGCAATGATCATGAGAACGGTGAGGAATCAGCCCAGAACTACACGGGAGGATCTTGTCAATGATCTCAAGGCAGCTGGGACCATAGTCACCAAGAAAACAATTGGTAACATTACGCCGTGAAGGACTGAAATCCTGCAGTGCCCGCAAGGTCCCCCTGCTCAAGAAAGCACATATACATGCCTGTCTGAAGTTTTCCAATGACCATCTGAATGATTCAGAGGACAACTCGGTGAAAGTGTTGTGGTCAGATGAGACCAAAATGGAGCTCTTTGGCATCAACTCAACTCGCCGTGTTTGGAGGAGGAATGCTGCCTATGACCCCAAGAACACCATCCCCACCGTCAAACATGGAGATGGAAACATTATGCTTTGGGGGTGTTTTTCTGCTAAGGGGACAGGACAACTTCACCACATCAAAGGGACGATGGACGGGGCCATGTACCGTCAAATCTTGGGTGAGAACCTCCTTCCCTCAGCCAGGGCATTGAAAATGGGTCGTGGATGGGTATTCCAGCATGACAATAACCCAAAACACACGGCCAAGGCAACGAAGGAGTGGCTCAAGAAGAAGCACATTAAGGTCCTGGAGTGGCCTAGTCAGTATCCAGACCTTAATCCCATAGAAAATCTGTGGAGGGAGCTGAAGGTTCGAGTTGCCAAACGTCAGCCTCGAAAAACCTTAATGACTTGGAGAAGATCTGCAAAGAGGAGTGGGACAAAATCCCTCCTGAGATGTGTGCAAACCTGGTGGCCAACTACAAGAAACGTCTGACCTCTGCGATTGCCAACAAGGGTTTTGCCACCAAGTACTAAGTCATGTTTTGCAGAGGGGTCAAATACTTATTTCCCTCATTAAAATGCAAATCAATTTATAACATTTTGACAAGAGTTTTTCTGGATTTTGTTGTTGTTATTGTCTCTCACTTTCCAAATAAACCTACCATTAAAATTATAGACTGATAATTTCTTTGTCAGTGGGCAAACGTACAAAATCAGCCGGGGATCAAATACTTTTTTCCCTCACTGTAAGTTACATTCGGTAAAGTCACGTAGGTATAAAATAAAATAAATCACGACGTTGCGGGCGCAACACAAGCGTCCGTCATCAGGTGGGAAAGCATGATTCTGCTGCTGAGGCAAGACTGTTTTAAAAGGTTTGAAATAAAAGGTTACGTTGCGCCGGAAACGTCGTGATTTAGTTCATACCAACGTGACTTTACCGAAAGCACCAAAGAGTGTTGGATTCCCGCAGTCACGAGGACAGCTTCAAATCAAGATTGATGAGTTACATTATGTAACATACAGTCCACGATGTGCAAGCAATAGTTATTATGCCTCTGACATGTATGTAATGGAGTAATGCAATATAGCAAACACTGCAGTGTATAAAATACGTGGCAGCAGCCTTTACATACAGCAGCACCGTAGGAGGAGGAACGAGACGAACAGTAAGGGGCCATCCATTCAGTGCGTCACGCTTGGAGGGGGGACGGGGGGTTAACACAAATGCGTGCGTATGGGGGGGGGGGGTCTACTGACAATGTACATACACATAGGAAACGGGGGGGGGAGAGTGAAGCCTCGATAATAATGTCTACATTGGCCTTCAAATTAGATAGTCCGGCGGTGGACTATCTGTTTGCTTAAACGCGTTAATATTATGAATCATTGATCGGTTCTGCGTGGATTAAATATCGGCCGTTCTATAGGATTCTGTGGTGCGTCAGGCGTGCGTACGTACGCATGTGGGGTGTGTGTAAAAAGTACGCCTGCCTACAGGGAAGGGTGGAGGGGTCACGTTTTTACAGAGGTTTTTTTTGCGTACCCGACTCAATGGATGCCGGTTCATCATCGTGGCCCCGCCCCCTCCCCGTTATGCCCCGCCCCCTCCCCGTTATGCCCCGCCCCTCCCCGCTATGCCCCGCCCCCCTCCCCGCTCCCCCGTGCCACGCCTGACAAGGATGCACGATTCCGGTTGGCTGACGAACAAGGAGCACCTGCCGGTGACGCAGCTCGTCATTGGCGACGCGAACCGCTCGCGCTCGGCCGCCAGCTACCTCGTGGGGCCGCTGCGTTGCCACGGCGACAGTAAGCCCCTACCCCCCCACTTTTGCCTTTCCCGCCAAATGACGCCGCGGGTTTCTCTCTGCTCGTCGTTAATGAACATTTATGGCGGGATCCCGGGGGCAGGCGGTGCCCAGAATAAACGGAAGTGAAAATCGTATTTCTTGGTTCTTTTCGGTAAAGTCGCGTAGGATAGGAAATGTAATTAAATAAAAAAAAATTAATTGAAAATAATAAAAGTCAACAAACCCCCCCCCCACGACGTTTCGATCACAACACATGCGGTCGTGTAGAATCTAAAATCACGTAGATCTACGTGACTTTACCGAAAGAACCAATAATTACGAATTCCTGCGGTCAGGAAAGTTTTAAGTCGGTCTTCATCGGGCGGAGAGAAAATCGTCATTAAAATTTATTTTGTATTTTTTTTTGGCGACTCCGTCCCATCGCGCACATCAACGCCGCCTTAACCCACTGCAAATCAATCCTCTGGTTCTTCACCAGAGGATTGATTTGCCAAAATCGCCGGAGTCATAAACAAAACTTTGATTAGCGCATCGCGTAGAGCTCGTCGAGAGGCATTGATTGCCGTATCGTTTGCACTCAACAGACCCTAAATGACGTCGCAACGCAGTTTAATGCGAGAGCCGGCACAAGAAAAAAATATATGAACAGTTTTTTTCCAATGTTCTTTTGATTCATATTTATATGTTTACTTCCTTTGCCGTAAACATGTGTGTGTGTAGCAAGTATTAAATTTAGGGTGATGTGGTAGCCCAAAGCTGGAATTTTGTAAGATGTAATGCGGCATAGTAAATCGTTTGACATTTTTACTTAAATTATCGGCTCTTTCGAGTGAGATAGCTGCAACTTGGCATTCAGGGCTTCGTATATGTTCTCCTTCATCACGTTGTGTTTATAAGAGCCTTCACAATGATGCAAATTAAAAACATCCATCACAATTAATGTCCTTCGGGTAAGTGGGGCCTGCTGAGACCAGCCACTCCAGCCACTGAGTTGCATTAAACAGGTCTCTATATTGAAATAATGCGGAGGCTAATGGGGTGTAGTGCTTGGTGTCTCAATGTACGAGAAGTCTCTTCTGACTGCTAATGGCCCAGGATGCTCCTGCACCAGCCTCTCACCTCCACCTCTTCCTCGTGACAACGTCCCCACTCAGACACTCACCCCGTGTGTGCGGTCAATGAATGTAGGACCACACACACAAGTAAGCCTCGGATGGGAAAGGGAATGCATGCAATTCTTTTTTTACCGAAATAGTAATAACACATTGCCTTTGAATCTATTGATATAGTCTTTATCATTATTGCCACCACCACCATCATAATCAACATCATCAACACCACCTATATCGTCTTCACAATCATCAATTCCCATCCTGACCATCACTATTATCACCCATCATCAATATTCCTCACGATCATAATGGTTATCAATCACTCATTACTCTTCACCATCAGGTGAGTATTGTCAACCATATCTATGAACCAGGGTCATAGCCATATTCGTGTGAAAGCAAGGGAAGGTGCCGTTATTGGATGCTCTGGTCAGAGTCCATTGTCAATAAATTTTGTCAGACTAAATTGTTATTTGATTTTGCAACCCCATTGCGCTGTTTATTCTGCTCTACTTCACTTTGAGAGATTTATGAGTTTTATTTTATTGGGGCCTCCTGGCTCTCAAACCTATCTCAGCTAATCCTGTAACCATAAACGTGATGCACCCACTAACATATTTATTTACAGGGGAAGATTCTCTGAATTTTGTTAAGGTTAGAGATTTCACGACTGTGGATAAATTTGAGGCATCCAAACATGCCTACCTACCTCATCGTCGCAACTTCATCTGTGCGTACGTTAACGTTGTCTGCTCTGCAGAACATTTTTGGAACGCAGCGTCGTTCTCCAACCGCACGGCGTACTTGCTGTTCCCGACGTTCCGTGGCGAGAAGAGCGCTGACATCTCTTTTTACTTCAAAACGGTGGCACCGTTTGGAACCTTCCTGGAGAACCTGGGGCTGCAGCACTTTCTGCGCCTGGAGCTGAAGAGTGAGTTGCCCCTTCTCAACTCAACTGAGCTACACGCACCAGCCTCTCCATGTCCACTCCGGCATCCATCGCTCAAATCAGCTGATGATGCAATTCAACGAACGCTTGAAACTGGCCTGGCCTCGTTTGTGAACTGGGAGAGTGGGCTCAGGCCAGTTTTCCATGGCAGTCTGACCCAGCTTGGGCAGCTGTAACCAAGCTCACTTTATTTAGGCCACGTGGCTGTTTTGCCCACGGAAAAAAAAGACACGGGGTCAAAGTGGAAGAATCGTACGATGCTGATGGTGCGCCTTGTTGTGTCGGTCAGCTTTAGACCCCGTGATTTAAATAAAAAATGTAGAATGAAAATTACAAATATAACAAGTTTTTTAGTTTGGCATAGTGCATGCTAACCAGAGAATGCATTGCACCTTGTTAAAATAAATTGTGATTACTTCCCTCCATGTAGGGAATGGGGGAGGAGGGAGCCATTCCAGGTGCTGCCCAGCGAAGCTCATGCCGAATATGGAATGCGCACGGAAATGCAGTGTGAGCCTCTGTGTCGTGGGAGAACATAAGTTATACTGGTAGGAACCTCCTGGTTACACCAGCCCACAGGGGATTATTGTGTCCGACCGTCCATCGTGCATCCAATAATGGGAGGGGTGGGGCTGGGTGGAGAGGGGAGGGTGGGGAGGGGCTGGGTGGGGAGGGTGGGGCTGGGTGGGGAGGGTGGGGCTGGCTGGGGGGTGGGGCTGGGTGGGGAGGGGCTGGTCACCCCCGTGGTGCCCTTATAAAACTCAACGTTTAACCTACTCACGCCGGCTTGTGCCCGCCCTCACAGTCGGGCATATTTGCGGAATACACCACGCTCCCTCCGCAGGAATGTGTTCCTCTATGGGTTTCGGTGGTTATATTAAGGTCTCTTTACATAGCCATTCGCGACATAATTATTTTATTGGTTGTTATGAGCTGGCATTGATTATTTCTCCATGTAGCTCAACATATTAAACTCGTGTATCCCATTTAACTATTTAGGTTGGCTCTTGTGACTTACTTATGCTATAGTTGCCCATCATCTTATTACATTCATATCGTTTTCTATTGATTCTCTGCTTTGGAACTTTTTTATATGATAGATTATTGTGGGGGTGTTTTTACACATTTCTGTATTACTCTTTTTATGTTCTGTCTCCTGTATTATTTTCCCGAAAACTAATATTTTTTGCAAAGCTAAAAATGTACTTGGTTTATAATTGTTTTTTTACCCTTTTATCTGCCAACAAAACTGACACCTTTTTTTTACAAGGAGTCATGTTTGCATTGACCACAATACCTGGGGTCAGAATGCAAACAAAAAACATAACTCTGATAATGTATGCACTGTCCTTGAAATTGATTGGTCCACACCCGAGACAGCTTTCCTTAGAGCCTAGGCTCACATGGTGTTGGACCAGATGACGCCAAAAGGCGCACAACTCAAAGCCAATGCACCATCAGAGTATGAGAGCTCGGGTAAAGAATTTACACCATTGGAACCTCCTTCGCCAGTAGCAAAATATGATAATTGTTTTTTTTACCCTTTTATCTGACGACAAAACTGACACCTTTTTAAAATTAATTTCAAGGACAATGCATACATGATCAGAGTTATGTTTTTTGTTTGCGTTCCGACCGCAGGTATTGTGGTCAATGCAAACATGACTCCTTGTAAAAAAAGGTGTCAGTTTTGTTGCCAGATAAAAGGGTAAAAAAACAATTATTATATTTTGCTACTGGCAAAGGAGGTTCCAATGATGTACTTGGTTTAAATAAATGTGTCTAGTCATTCATTAAATATTTTTTTTACTTGACTCCGTTCCTGTTACCAAGTACTGTTTTTATCGCATTTACCCTTTCTTTAATTCAGCAGTGGGTATCGTACCACTAGAGGCAAATAAAGAGCCAGGGCGACTAGGATAAAGGAAATACCAAATTATGTTAAGTGGGGCCAGAACTCGCACATTCAAAAATATGATTCACAGACTAAACTACAAGGCTCGAAAGAAACCTGGGGCCTCAGTACAGAACACCTTTCACATTTCAAAAAATTACATAAGCTATGCTCTAAAAGAGAGTTAAGACAACAAATCCTCATAAATGTAGGAGAGAACTTATTTTTGGTCATGACCACTCATATGTGGATTGTGAAGGTACAAAAAATTCAAACAATAATTCATGAAACAATATTCGTCACATTAACAGTGAATAGAATAAACATTAGTCAAATATAATAAAATCAGCCAATGGCTGGCTGAGGCTCACGGAACAATGACACCATGCTGGTCATGTTGTACGAGTGACTTGATGATGGCCATGTAGCATCAGGTTGTGTTCCTGCAGCTGATTTGGCAGGTGCAGTGGGAGTGATGACATAATCCCTAGCAAGTGCTGCCACATCCACTGCGTTACGATCTCTCCTTAGAATTGTTAGGCATTTTCTCTTATGCCATTTCAGATCTTACTATAATCGCTGCCTGCTGGATTTTATGATAATTTTCTGTACTCAGGCCCCTGGGTTACAATAGGCAACAATTACCGAGAAACGCAACAAATGAAGTGCAACAATTTTCTAAATACAATTACAATCAAAACCCACAAATGAATCCTTAACAATGGATGTGATGACAGTAAAACGTTTACAGAGGGGCAATATGAATGTTAAACAATTAAAAAACGTGTCTTTAGAAGATGTGGTGAGGTCCTGAGGCAAAGTGAGCAGGGTCGGGAGGGGGGAATGGCTGTTAATTATCGAGCTGGGAGAGTGTAAGAAGTCATTAAATGTAACACAAGTTTGTTTTTTCCAAGGCAGTTTTGGTTTTACATATATTTAATTACCGATGCAGTGTGCTCTGTGCTGGAGGTATGTGGGAGAGAAAAAACCCCAAAGCATTCACATTGAATACCTAAGCAAATTAATGTATTTCTGGAGTCCATGCGTTACCTTTGCCTGCAGATCCCCTGCACTGAATTCAGAGGCAGTATTCCAGTAAACAATAACATTTGTGCTTTTACCTCACAGCAGCGTTGCAACCTAATTAGCCACGGATTTTTTTTCTCAGGGCTGTGCAAAGGGGACCATCGTGCTACCGAGTAAAAAAGGTGAAAGGAGATTGAAGAAACTTACCCCATAATTTCAACTGTCACTCCGCAAGATGAAATTGAACCGACGACCTCTGGGTTGCAAGTCCAATTTGCTAACCGTTGACGGCAGCTGCCTTGCTTCCCAGTACCACCTACCTCATCATGTGCTTGATGGGAGGAGTGGTAGGGATGAGGGAGTCAAAATACAAATTGTACACAGGCTCTTGCAGATGCAGTTTGGTATTGAACACTGCACGTGCAAACAAAGTGTGATTCATCTTTGTATGACAATCGGTGGTGCATTTTACGTTCAAAACCATTTTCATTAAATACAAAAACTTTTACCTTCAACTGGCACAGATAGCAAATTCTGTTTGTGATGTGGGTTATTACATGCCTTTTTACTCTTCCCTACACTGTAGAAAAGATGAAAGTGGGACCATTGTATATCTTATTCTGCATATGCTGTGTGTATGATACATAAGTGCACTGTGCAAGGACATCACTAATACAACAAAAATGTGAGTTGATCGATATGAAGTTCAGAAACATTTGTACACACAATTGTTTAAATATTACCTTTTTTATAATATATTTGCATCTCTAATTAGGTCCGTCTCACGTGGCTGCTGAGAGTATGTATGTGGTTGTGCTTTTGTTAGTGCGTGTGTATAATCATGTGTCACGTAGTTTCTTCGTGTGAGGGAGCAAATATGTTTGTGGTTATTTTCAAGTCGTGAGGGCCATTGACTGCGACTAACATTCACTGGTTTAAGTCAGCTTTAAGCAACTGCTGCCATTTCCGCCATAATTTTCTGTCTTATCTTGGTCGAGTAAAAGCAGCGCCATTGCTTCAGTAACCTGTTTTGTGTTTGAAATAATTTTTCACCAACAGAGCTCACCCCATTTGTTTTTCTTTTCACTCTCCAGCCCGACCTCGATCGAATATGGCACAAGCACAATTATCGCCGACAGTTTTTTTTTCAACCAAATGCTGAGATGGAAAAAATCAAGTGCCAAGCCCAATGTTTTCGTACACTGTGGTGATAATATGCATTTAGTTACGCCTCATCTACCCTGGGCATTCGAGCTGCGCTCTCAGAGGTGATAGCACACAGCATGCGAAACCCAAGTGATCCCAGTGCAATATGTGAAACCAGCTGTAAAGGTTGGCATGGCCTGAAAAATACTACTTGGTGTTGTGAGCCCTGGGGGAAGGAAAAGGGACACACCAAGTGGAATGCTGGCCCCTATCCTCTGTCTGTGCCACACACCAAGCCAATTACAATACAACTGGGTGTCTGTGTTATATTTATCCTTTCACACGAAATTATACTCATGGTTTCAATTGTAGAAGTGTAATAATTAAAAAACGTAAACAATATGCAGATTTTTTTTGCCTTATAAAAAGTTAAATCAGTCTCGGGTTGAAATTTGGAAGGCGTTGTCTTGTTTGGTGAGGTCAAATCCTGGTTTGGTCTCGGCTCTGCATATCACTCTTAAAGGGTAGATATAAAGAGTGGCACATTCTATATATTTAAAGTGCTCTTCGAATGGCTTGTGTGAGCTGGGTGACTCTTGTAATTGTCTTGACTTTAACAGGAATTGAGTGAGGTAAATTGCAGAAGCTTCCAATTTCTGCTGGTTGGCAAATATAACGTTCTAGGCAGTCACTGCTCCCATGTGGGGGCGTACGAGTGTGCGTATGCAAGTGGCTGTGGTATTAACGTGTGCATCGTCTCTCCATCTCTCTCTGTTTCTCTCTCAGGCCCACTGGAGGTGAGCTTGCGCTTTGACGTGGGCGATGGCCCTGTGGAGCTGATCGCTGTATCCCCGTGGCCGCTCAACGACGATCAGTGGCACCGGGTTTGCGCCGAGCGCAACGTGAAGCGCGCCTCCCTGCAGGTGGACGAGCTGCCCCGGCGGGTACGCCGCTCGCCCCCCGATGGACACACGCGCCTACGCCTCAACAGCCAGCTCTTCGTGGGTGCGTGCAGCAACTGACAAGAGATGTCCACATTGCAGGGGCGGACTCACTTAGTCGAGTTATCGAGCACAGACTAAGGTGCGCAGTGAGGGAAAGGGGCCCGCATCAACAAATAAATGTAACCACCCCCGTGAGGTTACATTGATTTTCTTTTTTGGGTGCCGCCCAAAACCAACGTTATCACTTTTGGCTAAAGTGATGACATCACATGCCATGTGCGCACCTCTTGATGACGTCGAAACGTGTAACAACAAGTCCCAACATCACGTCATACACTGTGATGTCATCTCGTGGCCTGCGCCCCAAATATGTCCCGGTCCGCTCCTGCCATAGTTCACGCCATACGCCCGTCGTTTGAAGTGAACAGTGTTGGAGAAGCAATCTTTCAAAGGCGGCCCTTTGTTATTGTACAATTCGGACGGGAATGCATGTGTCCTTAAGTCATGTTTTGCCATATTGTAACCAATGAATGAGTATATGTACAGGATGAAGTATAATTTCTTGGCAGGATTACGTAAGCTACCTTGGAAGGTCAGATATAGACCATGGCTGAGAGTTGTACGGCTGTTTTCGTGAAGATGGCTTGAGCAATTGCAGGGTGGGGGAGAACAATTTGTAGAGGCAGCCATTGCAGTGGCTCCACGTGGTCACAGTGAGCAAGGGTCGAACCTAATTCCAGATGATGAGATACTGCAAGAGCAGACATGTGAGGTCAGCTACTCATTCAGCCTAAAATGAAATGTAAGACAGTTGGTTGGCGTGCCCTTCGCATCTGCAGCTCCCACAGTGTGGAACGCACTCCCGCTCCATATTCGACAAAGGAAGTCCCTTCCACTTTTTAAGTCCCATTTCAACCCCTTTTTGTTGACTATGGCCTTTAATTGAGTTGACCTTGGTTTGGGTGTGCTATGTCTCTTGCGAGGGACAATACATATATTTATTTAGCTGTTGTCTTGTGCAGCGTTGTGAGATGCAGTTTTTGCATGAACGACACTGTATAAAAATGTATTGTTATTAGGTGCAAAAGGAAGAAAATTATAACTTGGCCCTGATGACCTTTTCATCTTTGATATGACTGCATGTATTCATCAGTGTTTGGTAATTACAACATAAGGTTACTTTAGCATCAGCATAACTACCAAAAGGGTTCCAGGTATTTGTGTGTGCTGTAATTTATATTTAAATGTTCAATTAATTCTACATGTTTTATGTTTACCCTGATCGGTGAGGCACTTGGTTCACACAATTAACCAACCCATGCTCTCTTTCCATGTTCCAGTCAACCTTTGCTCTCAAAACAAGGATCAGCTGCCCAAACAATCTTAGAATTCCCTTGCCGTGTCTGTTTGAACAGCAAAAATCACCTTCAAAAATATTTTTTTAAAGATTCATCTGATTTTATAGAGTTGTGTTTTTGTAGAAATGAATGTTTGTGCTGTGTAGTTTTAAATTAGCGAGTGTGAGATTTGGGGCAAATTCTGATTTGCCGCAGTTTTGCACAGCTTTTCAGTATGTATTACACTTTTGTTTTGTTTTAAATAATCATCAAGCCACGAACTTTACAGTGGCATAATCCATTCTAGATCGCAAGGTGTTATATTGCCAGGTGAAGAGAGAGGGTAGTGACCATAGAGCGGCACTTGACAGTTATAAAGGCACTCTTACGGTGAACACACGCTACACGAGGTGCATCTGCAAAAGTTCAACAAATGCAATTGGGCCTGAAGTGTTTTTTTTCCAATCGGAAAATGACACGGCCATTAAGAGGCCCAATCAAAAACGTATTGCGCGAATTCAGGTTTCTCGTGCCATTAATTTACTGTAATCTTTATATATTTATTTTTTATGTAAATATGTATTAGAATTCTGCGGTTTTTCGAGCAATTTACTTTCCCCGAGTGACTACAAAAATGTTTTTTCGTGTTTTGCTTGTATTTTTTTCTTCACAAGTCGCCGCAAAAAACAATCACTGCAAACAACAGGCAGAATATTCACATGCGCAAGCATTGCACTGCTGCACTGTATCCAGTAAAACAATTTACTCAACATCCATTCACGCGTGTAAAAGTAACACCTCTCCCTCCGACTGCCAACTTGTTGTATCGGTGCTTCATGGTACTTACTGTAGCAGAGCTGTTTGATGCAGGCTCTAAAAAAACAAGCGTGGCATGTGCCTGCCACAGGCACGTGCAGGCGACGCTTCTAACGGGCGAGACTTGTGCCATGCGCAGGTGCCACTGCGTCCGGGAAGAGAGGCTTCCTGGGCTGCCTGCGCGCGCTGCAGATGAACGGCGTCACGCTAAGCCTGGAGGAGAGAGCGCGCACCGCGGTTGGCGGAGTGAACCCAGGCTGCACGGGCCACTGCAGCAGCTACGGGTCGCTGTGCCGCAACGGCGGGCGCTGTGTGGAGCGCTACAGCGGCTACTCGTGCGACTGCACGCACACGCCATTCGACGGGCCTTTCTGCACGCAAGGTGAGACGATCGTTTTTTTTTTTATAAACCCATCTTTTTATTTTTTCCCAGATATATTCCAGCTGCGCTTATCAACGCTGTGTTATAAGATGAAGATATTTCCATTCGGGACTCTCGTAGAGAGCTTAAAGAAGTGAAAAAATAAATGTATTATTATTTTTTGTGTGTGATCCTCAGGCTGGCTCAGACCATCAATTTGGCGTATTATTAATATATAAAAGGCCAACATTAACAATTTTGTTTTCACCAAAAACCAAACCCAGACATGGTATTCGCCACTTAAGTCACCCAGCCACATCAGATGTGTTGTCTCTTATTGTTTGGTTCGTTCACTGCATCAATTTAAATCAATGCGTACGCTCGCAATACATCCAGGCAATTGTACCTACGTGTGATCATATTTTAATTTCGATTCCTGCGTTTTTATAAGCTATATATAATTGTGGCGACAACCCCCGCGACTGCTCAAGATTCCAATTGCATTGCACTGGTAAAAGAAGAATCCAATCGTGACCCTAAATTGCAGAGTGTTCGCGAATCGCCACGTGCGAATCGCCACATGCGTACGCGTGTGCGCATGCATGCGCTTGATTTGTGCAGAACGTATTCACATATGTTTATTTATGTCTGTAGTCATATGGGTGAGAGGCGCTATGACCCTCCCTTACTTGATGGATGGAGGTGCTCGCGTGGCCGCTGTAGCCCTACGTGTGCTGCCTGTAAGCACGGTGAACGTGTGGTGCATGGCTGCCTTGGTGGACAAACTTGGCGGTGGTGCCGCCAGACGTGCAAATGGATGTGGGGAGAAGCTACAACTGAGACATCATTGGTGGTTTTTCCGACCTTGTCGCTCCCCATCACTTGGCGGCTCGCAAACACATTCACAATTTGATCAAATTGAGCCGTTGTGAGTGATGCATTGAGAGAGATAAAACAATAAAAGTCAATTTCCTTTTTTTCATGCAATATAACGTTTTCCCATAGCCCTTAGAGTCTTCCTTAATGTAAGCATGGTATTACAAAGGCAATCCAGCTAAAGAATGCAATAACAGCAGCAGAAGAAATCCGGATTATTTGAAGAGCTTTGGGAATGCTCAGACAAATGTATCGATGTTGTGACGATTGTATTGATCGTAAAATGAGTCCAGAGTTGGTGAGTAACACAGTATACAAGAATCACTGGCATTAGTAACGTGCCTGTTCCTATTGTGGGAGTAAATGTGTTCCGTGTACATCTTGACATCTGACCGTGTAATTTATTATTTCCTGTGTAACCATTCTAAGCTGTTGCAATTGCAGCAGCTTAGCATATTTCGAACACTGTTGAATAAACTGGAATAAAACGTGTTCTATAAATGTGTGTAAAACCTGGTATTGTATTGTTCCAATGGAATAACACAATACGGCATGTTTAATATCTCAGGCAATTATAAAAACAATTGAAAGTTGATATTCTAATAAAGACAAATGATATTTTTTTGTTATTGTACATAAGAGCATTTTGAAAATGCATGAAATAAGTTACTACAATCGAGAAAAATGAATTTGCAGATTTGAAAATCAAATGGAAGCAAGCTGCTGTGCAGCAGCAGAGGCATTTAAATCAGGGCATAATGAAATAAGTGAATTTCCACGGATAACTCTGGCTCAGAAGTTTTTCGAGGTGATTGCGCTGCTTGTGTCGCACTCCAATTAGTGCTCTCATTTGTCGGGCGGTAGAAAAAAAGGAAAGTCCGTGGAGCTCAGCAGGTGCTAGCTTAGCAGTCTTCTCCACGTCCCTGTATCAGATCCAATGCCCAGGCCTTGTCTGCCCCCAAATCCGACTGCGGATGACTCAATTGGTCAGATGCACTCACAGTGTGCCTTAATTAAACGCTGTCAATGCTTTTTTTATGAGACTGCACTACAAAGAGTCATAGAGGCTCCATGCATTACTGAGTTTCATTCTGAGAGTAAAAACGAACAGTTAATTATAGATCTAAGAACAAAAGAGGAAACATTGCTGTTTGCAATATTTTGCATTTTATATACGTAATTAACATATTCAATGCAACTATTAAAAAGTTCAAAACAGTAAATTATTTAATTCAGCAAGCACCACGATATATGTTCTTTTCAAAGTGCTTCAGTTTAGTGACATGTGTGAGTGGTGTATATTGGAATTGGTGTTTGCTCGAGTGAAAAATCAGCAGTGACAAAGCGAGAAGCAGTAGCTTGGGTAACGGCCTTGATAATGGCAGCCAGCCACTCTCCAGGGCCTATTGCAATATATTCTTGGTAAACTGACTAATACCGGCCGCTGTGATTACTTGCACAAAGCACCACAGCGCTCTCAGTTGTTAAAATTTCCATTGTAAAGAGAATTGCAACATCTTCATGAGAATGTTTTCAAGTGACAAATGAGTTTGGATCAATGTGGCAATACAGATTAAAAGTACGTTCAAGACAACGATGACACAATAGTTGCCCCTTTATTTGTTAAACTGTTGTGATAGTGCATAGCAGGCTCTAGCAGTGGACAAGTAGGCTGTATATATTAGCTGGCTGATTTGCTTGCAAACCGAAGTTTATACGTCCGTTATTATTATGATAATAATAGTGTCCTTCTCTATTAGGCTACAATTTACAAAATTGAAATGTTGGTTGAACACAGCATTGTGTATTTAACACGTCAGCTTTCACAACCAATATTATCTATAATAAAGGTTTTTTTGGGGGGTTAGATCGTGTAAATATAGTGTCATTAAACTCGTCACCACCCGACACAGCCAATTAGTAAGATTTGTCTTGTAAACAAAACGTGCCAAATAGTTACTATTTCAGCACACTGGTGTGTTGGAGAATAAACCAATAACATTTATGACTACATTAACCCCCCCTCTGGTTTTTGCACTTAATAGGCACACAGTGATCACATCACCATTACTCCCTCTATTTAAGACCGAAACAGGAGGACTTCTTTACAATTCTAGCTATCGCTGGTTGTAATCTCCAGCGAAATGTCTTCGAATTATAAATGTTGTGGGTTTGCTCTCCAACACATTGGTGTGCTCAAGTACTAATTGGCACGTTTTGTTTACGTGACAAACCTTACTAAATCGCTGTATTGGGTGGTGGCGGGTTTAACGACACATATTTACGCGATCAAACTCCAAAAACCTTTATTATGGACAGCACTGTGTACGTACAATGTTCTGTATACTGTGTATATGCAATACTTGTATGTTGTGGTTAGCATTACACCTGCCCAACCAGGTAATCATTGCCACGTAAAGTCGTACTCATTTAAACGGATCTAGGGGGATACCTATGACAGGCTGGGATACTGCTTGATATACCATGGATATTTGACTTTGCTTTGCGGCTGTACCACACACTACACTGGTGGCTGTTACATTTCCCCGCAGAGGTGGGTGCCTACTTCGAGGCAGGCACAGTGGTGCAGTTCTCCCTGGACTCGGAGTCGCGGGAGCAGAGCATAGAAGAGGACGAGGACGAGCAAGCAGAGGAGGAGGAAGGGGTGGCGGCGGCGGTAGCATCCAGTCTTGGCAGGGATGATCTAGATGAGGAGAGGGCGATCTTCAGCTTCAGCACGGTGCACGCTCCCGCTGTGCTGCTCCACGCCAGCACCCACGCATACCCGTCCTCCTACCTCGCCATCGTCCTCGAGCACAACGGCAAGTCCCTCTCGCTATTCGCCCCCCCCCCTTCCCCCAAGTGCAGCGTGTGGAAATTAATCTGCATTGATCACTGCGCTTATGGACCCTGGGACCCGAGTTAGATTCCCGTCCTTGGCTAACAGCTGTGATTGATATCTTATTCGGCCTCAGCCTACCTCTTCCTTTCACCCACATTTACCAATGTCGAATTACCCCAATGACTGACACAGTGTGGGGAGACCTGCATTAAGCAGTAAGATTGACAAAGGGCTGCGAATTATTTTATAAGTGTATGGGAGGTTTTTGGGGAAAATTATGTTTTACAAGAGCGAGAAAAGGCGGATGAGAATTGCAAAGTCTCAAGCTTCAACACGAACGTGGGAAGGAAGCCTGCAGTGTTGATATGCAGAGGGAGTGAGTTCTAGACAATGAGGCAGCAAAGGAAAAGGAGTGACCTCCCACTAAGCAGACATTGGTTTGGGGTATTTTACAAAAATCCTTGGTTTGTTGGAGTAGAGAGCATGGGGTTACATTGGTGAAATTTTGTGAACTAAGTGCCTCTGATGAGGATACAAATAAAATATGTACACACAGTTTAACTTTTAAATTCTAAATAAATTGCAGTGTGCCATTGATATGTCATGAAATATACAGGAGTGCAGACATTATGCATTAGTTGGGTATGCCTATTGTTGTTGGCTTTTGAAACATTCTCCCGCAAGACCTATATTGAAGGATTATTTAAATGGAAAAATAATCCCTAGATTAATAAAATACTTCATTATGAATGGACTGTATTGGATTAATTACATTGTTTTACAGTAATGCATAGATTGATTTAAAATTCAATATTCATATCCAACAGCTAGAGTTTTATAAATGAAAAATGACTGCGGCCCCATGGGTGCTGGTCACATGGGCCCCCACTGCCCACTGTCTCGGCTCAATAGACTGTGTAGTTAATGTGAATCTTGCTGACTGAGTCCTTTGTGTGGACCTTGCCTGTCGGAAGCTGCCTGGAGCAAGTTGATTGGGTGGCGTAATTGTTTGGACACAGAGGGTTCCGTTGCTCATGCATGTTTTGCTGACATTCGATTGTGTGCTGACTTTTTAAAGTGTGCGATATTCCAAAATATTCTTTATCTTAAACGGCGTTGTTCGTTTTTTTCGATAAATGTTTTCTTCACGCATCATTACATTATGACCTGCATGCTGAAATCTCCTGTTGATGACTCAAATTAGCATACTGAAAAAAATATATGCTGGATGGTTTATCCGTAATTAGCTTGGTACCAAATGCCTATGATATAATTACCCGGAATGCATCTGCTTTTTTTAGATCTCAGAAGCTAAGCTTGACTGAACGTTGATAATGCTTGGATGGGCGGGCAGTCTACAGGGTGGCCCAGAAGTCAGGACACATAGGTTTTTATTTATTTTTTCAACTGGCAAAAATATACATTTAAATTTTACATTGTTTAGCTTAATAATGTATCTGTTAACACTATTAATATCTATTTTCCGTCTTCCTTTTAAGATGACATTTACAAAATCCTGAATGAATTGAGACAAAACATGATTGATGAATATTCAAAGACTACACGTGTAGTCTTAAAAAAAAGCCCTCAATGAATTCCAAAAAATAATTTATGCATGCATTAATGTGCATAGAATTCAGTATGAGCAAATGTTAACATAAACGAAATAACCCATTCTGATTTGTTGAAATAAATATAATAGCCTTATGTATCCTGACTTTTGGACCACCCTGTATATGGGTTTAAGACTATAGGAGGTCAGTGTGTAGTGGAAAACAGCACATAAAATCCAATATTGTACTGTACATTTATGCACCCGCATCTATGCTATCCGCCTTCAGCCAATCCCCGCACTGATCGGCGTCATGAAATATGGCAAAATAACTTCTATGGCCCACGGCATGGGGAGAACCCCATCCAGCAGTGATTCGACAAAGAGCTACACATGTACACAGCAGTTAGGTTTAAGGCAGTCAATGATAGTTCGGTACAGGGACTCCTCTACTTACGAACCTTAGACTTACAAACTTTCAGAGATACGAACAAACCTGTTCGTATGTTCAGTTGCCTTTTCAGACCAAGAGTCGTAAGTTCAACCGCCACGCAATAGATGGCGTTGGTGGCATCTACATCTGCAGAACGTGAAGAACCAGTTGCATCCTCATTAACAGGAGATTATACAACTTTTAAAGCTATTCCCCGTGTTTAGTGTACATGCCCTACAACATGATTGGAATCGACAGGAGTAAAGTTGGACTTACGAACAGACCTGTGGAATATAACTCGTTCGTATGTAGAGGAGTCCCTGTATTCAATCACTAGTCAGTTTTAGCACTCGACAGCACGTGCACTGAAAGTATTTTAATTCGATGCAGCCATATGGTGCTTAGGTCGCAAAAAAAACAGGAGCAAATGCCTTTAAAAAAACACAGTAATTGCACAAATCTTTTGGCGACACGTAAATTTGAACCACTCTGCAAACTGAGGTGTGTTTGATGGAGCAGGGGCGTGAAAATATAAGGAAAGGGTAATGGTAAAGTGCAGCTCCGCAACTGCTCGCTCACGTCACTACTGACGGAAGGGCCTCCACTAGAGGGAGCTCCAGAGAGCCCCTCTGGAAGTTATTAGCCTACTCTAATACACTGGCCAGACATCTTGGAAGAGTTTAGAGTACCCACCCTTTACTCCTCAACACGCGACCTGCCGATTGACTAACTGCGGTTATGTGTACCCATTATACTGCTGGATGGATAGAGGCGGCGTGGAGATATTTAATAAACGTCCCCATTGTTTCCATTACAGGTCCAGTGTGCTAACCATTCCACCATGGCAGCATCCCATACACTATAAACTTACCATTAAGGTATCCATAGAGGACATTTTCAATGGTTAATATAATGTTCTATCGCCTGGGTAAGAGCACTTGAGTTTGTGTAGGTAAATGTTCCACTTATTTTAGTCCGAAATGTGCTGATGTTCCCATCTCTAATAATGGGGAAAATCACACATGCGTCAGCCTTTTCGTCAAGGTGTGTATCTGGCCCTGGGAGTGTTTAACTTGCAAAATATCCATTACCAAATGTAGATAAGTAAAAATTTCAACCCATTCGTTGAAGTTAACCTAAATAACTTTATTCACCCATGAGGCCATTCGCGTGCTATTCAAGTGCCTCATTGCATAGTGGCAGTGTAATTGCACGTAAATGGCGATGTAATGCAATTATGTATGTGGTGGTGTGTGGGCTGGCGTGTCTCAGCTGCGAGAAATTACCAAATCTTTAGGGATGCTTGAAGACGTTCAATATGCTCGTAAAAAAATAATGCAGTATGCTGTACTTCTACCAACCACTTCAAGTGTGTATTAGCAGTTTATTTCTAATACAAAACACTGGTTATAGCTATTCCTTAATGAGGACGAAATACTTATGTGAAATGGGGTGTCCCTTTGGCATGTGGCCAATGACAATGAAGGACGCCTCTCACATTTTCTGTTGCTCGCCATCTCTTTTTCCTCTGAGGGCATGTCTGCATATTTCTCTCTTTGTCTCTAACCCCCCTTCCCCACCTTCTTTTCACCCGTGCGTCTCACGAGAGGCATGCCAGCTCATGGCGCACGCCGCCGATGCCTGTGTGTGGCATGTGGGTCCCTCCAGGCAGCCTGCAGCTGTGGTTTGGTGGCAGTGGAACCTCGTCGCCACGCACCGTCTCGGCCGGCATGCGGAACCTGGCCGACGGGCAGGTCCACGCGGTGAACATGACGCGGCGCGGCACCCTCATCCTCCTGCAGGTGGATCGCACGTGGCCTCTCGTTCAGAATTCTCGCCTGACACATGCGTGTATTTACTCTTGGCCACGCTGTTTTCCTCCCTTGTGCGAGAATGCTCAACGTGCAATTGGCAAAAACATCTTAAGCAAGGTCCTCTCAAAAGTAAATCTTCAGAAACAGTGGAAGATTTCCTGTGCATATGAAGCCCTGTATTATTACAACTGCGATGTTTGTAAATTCTGTAAATATTCTTCTTTCAGATGGCAGGAGGGAAAAGCAACAGTTTTGAAACTTGTTATAGTCGAATGCTAAGTTTTTTCAACCCATCCAAGGAGGCAGTAAACGTGGTATGGATCACACCAACACCGCCAGGATATGCATGGATGGCCCATTCCTGGGTGATGTGTTTGACGGTTTGGACTTCATCACAGTTGCAGTTTGGCGATTCTTTGATCGTCGTCCATTTGTGGAAGGTGAACGCGCATCTCCCACTTTGCGGTGGAGTGCGGCTTAGCCAGCTCCATAGATGTTGGAGGGGAGAGTATCTTGGTGCTTCCCCAATCGGGTCCTCAATGGGGTTTTTGTTTACCACGTCCACGGCCACCCAGAATTCTGTCCAGCGAGCTCGAATGTAAATAGCAGTCACGTATGCAGTTACGGTTTGTACAACGAGTGATTCGTGTATAGCCTATGATCTATTATTGTTAAGACTGTTACCTGAAGTGCAGTAAATGTATAGCTCAGATCACTGAAATTAACTTAACACTTGTCTAATTATTGCGTGTCTCCATTTGTAAGTGAGCTCTCATTGACAGACATGATTTTTCATTGCACATAGGAACTCAGAGTACCTCAAGTACATCTATAAAGTACAGTATTATTTATTGCAATCATTAAATGTGCTGGACTATGTAATGTTACACATTGTTTTTATTGTAAAACTACTACCTTGTTTTTCTTGACTTAAAGCTTCCAATGACTGCAGGAATTCATACTCTTTGGGTCTTTCGGTAAAGTCACGTAGATAAGCAAGGTCCTCTCAAAAATAAATCTTCAGAAACAGTGGAGGATTTTCTGTGCATATAAAGCCCTGTATTATTACAACTGCGATGTGATTTCTTTATTTTTGTATTGTTTTCTATCTACGTGACTTTACCGAAAGACCCAACGAGTATACATGTGTTTTACTATAATTTTACTACTGTGTATGGCAAAACAATTCGGAGCTAAACCTCATTGTCGAGGTCTTTTAACCACAAGCGGACTTCAGAACAAAGTTCATGTAGCTTTGCTACGCCTCCGTTGAAGCAGCGCAGACCACAGTGGTTTACTAAGTGGTCCATAGTTTGGCTTGCAATCGGACTGTGACTTGTCTCTAATTATCCGTTTATGAAGATGTGCGCATTGGGCTGTTGATGTTTTGATGCGATTGGTGGTTACAACAGTGCCTTTGAGGAATGTCAAAGTCAGGAGGTGCGATGTGCGAGTCTTGTCGTGAAATAGAATGTTATACAGTAGACTTGTGTTCATTGCTACCAGGACAACGATTCGATATTGCAACATGACTTGCATGGCAACGCTGCGCCTTGGTGTGATATAAACAGGGGATGATCACAGCCACTTTTCAACCTCCTCTGGAAGGTACTTGTTTTAAGCCCAATCAATTGACAGCTGACATTAACTGCTTTAAGTCTCAGATGTCGCAGCAATGAATACACGGTGCAGTTTCTCTGCAGTTCAGAAAAAATGTGTTCCAAAGGTTATAATCTTTTAGGTACGGTATTTTCTGTTCTGGTAATGAGAGGGAGGCATAATGATTACTATACTAGAGCAGAAAAAGACTGAGCAGAAAAGGCTAAGCCTCCCCCTCATTATTAGAGCTTGTGCTCCCCTCAGTAAAGGCCACTACTCATAGTCTCCTCCAGCGACCTGCATGAAGTACTTTTGGCTGCTGGTAGTAGTAACTAACCAGCAGGCCCTCATGTCTGATTGCAGAAAGTACTCGTCAAATATGTCGTCAATTAGTCAGCAAAACCAGCAATTGTAATTATATCCGAAATGTCGGAAGAGAAAACACATAAGTTAAAGCTAATATGAGAGTCCTCATGATAATCCAACGCAGTGGATATGGCGGTGGTTGCTAGGGATTACATCATCGCCCCACTACACAAGCCAATCAAATACCAGGAAAACAAAAAGACATGGCCACCATTAAATCACTCATGCTTTCATCCTTGGCATCATGTCATTGCTGCATGCACTTCAGCCGGTCAATATCATGATTCATAATTTATGTTTCAGATTTGGTCACGGATTGATCTGGTTACATTTCTGTCATAAGATCATTATTCTGACTTCTTGGATTTTCCTGAAGATGCTTGGCTTATCTTATTGCTAAATGTGTTTGTGAGAATTGTTCTTCAAAACTTAACGGGAAGCATGGCATATGAAACGTTTGTACACCTGACAATTTCATTTGTTTGGCTATATCGTGTGGTGAAGGGTTTTATGACAGATATTTAACCAGATCATTACTTGGCCAAATAAAAAAAATGTTTTTGAATCAATACAGTCTCACCTTGCCCAATGCTGTTTTATCAGATGCGTGTTTCGACTATACGTGGTTTACTTATTGCGGTACGTTTTCCAGAACACGAGGGTAATGTTTCAGCTATACATGGTTTGACGCTGCTAAGATTCACATCTCTGCGTCGACAAGTAGAAGTAGTGCCTGGTGCACTCGTAGACGCTGCAGATGAATATCTCATAGCCATCTTCCCTGCCCAACACTCTCATGCGGTGGTCCCACTCCATGCTTTACCAGCATCCCGTGCACATCTTCCTCACCCTTGTAATCCCCTTCCAACACCCCTAACAACATCATCCTCACTCTTTGGTTCTATTCGGTCAAGTCACATAAAAAACAACAAAAAATTAAAAAAATCACGACGTTTCGGCCACAACACAAGTGGCCTTCATCAGGTGAAGGGACCAGACTGTCTAGAGGACAGCGCTGTCCTCTAGACAGCGCTGTCTAGAATTTTTTTTATTTTTTGTTGTTTTTTATGTGACTTTACCGAATAGAACCAAAGAGTATGGATCCTTGCAGCCACGAAAGCTTCAAATCTAGAACATCATCCTCATTCATAATCACTATCATTCGTTGAAAGTTCAAGAAATATTTTCAGGTTCACTTTATTTATTTTAATTAACATCCCAATATTTGTTTCTATATATTATGTGTTTTTTTCTGTGATAAGGGGGTAAATCATGTTCTAATTGAAAGTTAAACAAAACGAGAAGGGGTAATAATTTCGGATCCATTTTTACCGTAAGGTTTATTATTTGTCTAACTCGGTTTTGCTCAAAACGGCATTTTCCATGAATGTAACCCCCACATTCGCCAGGTATTACTATACTAAGCTTGTCATTTTGTTATTTCAGAATTTATTGATTGACATTTTTACACTTACTTTGACAATCGACTTATGAGCTGCCCCAAGCTTCTGTTGCCACAATACGCCCGCTCCTGGATGATGCTTCACTGCAACCAACTGAGCGAATGAAGCACCATCCAGATTGCTGCTTTGCCACTGCATCCCTTCAGCTTCATTGTAATGTCGCCCTCATGGGTTATGGCTAAACTAACACATGTTTGCAGAGCTCCCAGATTGTTGCTCAGGTTGGCACAGAATGAGAAGTCACAAATTTAATTGCTCTGTGATTAGCAGCTAACCTCTCCTGGGCTAGAGTCTAGCTCATGAGACACTGCTCTCTCAGTCTAGCCGCTAGACTGAGAGAGCAGTGTACCTCAACCAAAACCTGCTTGTAGCTGGTGTATCTTCACAATTTTATCTACAATGTCTTATATTTAGTTTTGTGCTTCCCTGATTTAACATGAGATCAGCTTGATGTGTTCACAGGCGTGATCTACACTACCGTGACATCAATGCCATATTCATAATAATGTTGATGTAGCGTTTACCCTGGAGAGATGTCTGTGAGCTTGTATTGCGATGGGAACAACACTCCATAGTGTAATGGAGAAGCTTTTGAGTCTGGAGGCTTACTGAAAAGACGGATGTGAAATTAATAGATGCAATGCATATAGTACAGCCTTTATGTTATAGCCATTGGCTTTTGGTGGTAACAGTTGATTGGCAATAACTAGCAGGATGAAGATTATCTTTTTTTAAATTTACTCTCTCCGCAAATTCGCATAGAATGATGGTGCCGTGCAACTTCTTATTGTTGTTCAGAGAAGTTTCAAACGTTTATCAAAATAGCAGTAAATGGTACGTGCATCGGACAGCTAAGGGCAGATGTAATGAAGTTCCGCGTGCCTCACTGAGCCTTTTCTCAGCAATACCCTTACTCATTCACCCGTACACTCGCACTAAACAATATAAGCACCAAGAAAATTGCATTCGGAGTTAAAATATACATATATGGGATGCTTATAAATTTTCTATTTATTGCCGTCTCACGAAAGCAGCCCTACAGTTTGACGATTTATGAAAAATGGAATTGTGTGCAGTTACACAATTTAACAATGGCATATATTTAAAAAAAAAAACGTGTAAACATCGTTTCCTGCAATCCCCCTGTAACCCTGGGAGAATGCCCGTGTGGGTGGACCTGCCCGAGTGTGCTCAAGGAGATGTTGATATCACGCGACCGTTCTTCGTGAGTTTGTGAGTTTTTTTGTAGGCGTCATTTCTCCGCAGCACGGTGTAGCGGTCAATCACTGTTTGCTTTTTGGTACGACGCCTGCAGCGCGTATTTCGACTGTTCGCTGTCGGAACGGTTGCTCATCTTGGGGTTTAATAGCTACACGTAAATATGGGCATTTCAGCACCTCGGCATGCATCAGCATCAACCCCACCTTGAACCCATAACAACATTCCCACCCCTAGGTCCAGATAAAAAAAAAAACTTAGACAGGGCTCACAGGAGAGTTACCATGCTCTGCCTGCAGTTGAGCAAAATATTTTGCCTCTGTTTGTACACGTATGTGTTTGCATTTGTGCGTGGGTTTGTGTGTATGTTAGCGTATGTGGAGAGTGCACTAATTACGATGGTAGTGTAGTAGTTCGCGCACTGCGCTACGAATCCAGGGAACCAAAGTTTGATTCCCAGCTACAGCTAGCATCAGTGGTGATTATCTGAACCACATTGGGCATCCTGACTCAAACTTAAATGAATACCTTGTGCAGTGGGTAAATGTTGGCACTGGGTAAACAAAGGCAGATGGGTATGGTCCTGGCCACACCACTCCCTCATGCGCCGTACTGACCTTCATAGATGCATGCTAATGGAATTTGCCCCAACAGTCTGTGTAGGCTATATGGGGGATCATTAGTTGGCATGTGTACTATATATGAGTGTGTGTTTACCTTCGTGGGGAGTGATAGTGTAGCAGTTATTGTGAACCCTGTGACCCGATTGCAATCCCCGCTCATGGCCAACACAAGTGACAATTATCTGAACTGGACCTCCCCTAAAACGTCTCAGGCTCAAATGAGTGCTTAGTGTGGTGTGTACACATCTATACTAGGGGGACAAAGGCGGATGGGATAGTGCTGGTCACTCGCCCCCTCGTGTGCCGTGCCAACCTTAATTAGGTGCTCGCTAACAGCACTTTCCCCAACAGTCTGTTAAAGGCTATATAAAGAACCTTCGTCTTTGTTTACTTGTGTGCATATTTGTGAGCGGAGTCTCTACGGGAGTTCTAAATGGCTCGTGCTGAGTGATGGAAAAATAAATCAAGTTTTCTAGATCTCCATGCCTCTTGCCGTGGCTTGCAGGAAATCCATTTGTTTTCTGGATTGAGATAAAATACAAATGCAATTGTAAGTGACGTGTGGGATATTAGTGGCTTCCACCTTACAACAGAAAGTAGCAAAGGGGTTGCTTATGCAAGCGTGGAAGGTTGCAAAGAAAAATAGGGTATGTATTTTGGGAGAATATGGAAAGTGCTCTCAGCATCCTGACGTTTTAATGGGCCTCCAGGATGCTTTGTGATAAAGGGGCTGGCAAGGCTGCCACTGTAATGAGGGTGAGAGTAGTCATGCTGCCGGGAACAACCATAACTCACGACGTGTAATCGACATGATTAAGTTTGGCTTTGGGTCTTCTGTGCAAAAAAAATTCTAATTATAAATTTACATATTCAGTATCCTGAATACGGCGTGAAGCACACATTTATTGCTGATTGTCTTTCTCTGAATAATAAGCGACCAAAATACACACACAGAAATAATAATATGGTCACATTAGCCCCTGTTGGTCTTCATTTTGCCATTTATTGCATAACACACTTATTTGTGGTTAATTCTCCTTTTTATGCCCACCCCCTTCCCCGTGGTGTTTTTGCCACTCTCAATGCTCGCCATGGTTTCCCACGACGCCGGCGTCTCACTCTAACTGGGGACTTGTCGTGCATCGTGATCGCCCGGGCCACAGCTGGACCATTACCTCCCCACTGCGCATCGCCTGCCGACCGGCCATGCCCCTTATCCCCGAGCTGCCGACACACTCTACCTCGGCCGAGTGCCCGGTGAGAGCCTGCCCATGTCATCGTGCCTCCTCGATCAGACAGGAATAACGCGTGTGTCTGATGTGGAGTTTTCAGTGACGGGAACACTTGTCAACAGAGTGCCACTTAAGTGTGGCAATACATCATAGGACCTCCTTTGCCAGTACCAAAATATTATAAAAGTTTTTTCACCTTTTTTCTGGCAACAAAACAAGTGTTAAGATGTTAAAACACCAAACTGAAACCTTTTACAAGGAATCATGTCTGCATTAACCACAATGCTTGTGATCCTCTGGTCTAACAACGTTTGAGACGAGGCTCAAAAGAATGCTGTCTCTGGTGTGGACCAATCAGTTTCAAGGACAATGCATATATTATCAGAGTATGTTTTTGTTTGCATTCTGACCACAAGCATTGTGGTTAATGCAGACATGATTCCTTGTAAAAGGTTTCAGTTTGGTGTTTTAACATCTTAACACCTGTTTTGTTGCCAGAAAAAAGGGGGAAAACCTGTGGCAAACATTTATTAAATGCCTGCAACGCCTCACCACCTCTTTCCTAACACTGCCTTATAACAGCAAAAAATATGTAGTTGACAAACGTTTTGGGTAATGGTCTCGCTTGAGAGCAGAAATAGAGGGCAGAATATTTTGACTTGCGCTTGGAGACAGCATTTAAAATATATATAACACACAGCTTACTGATGTTAAATCTAAGGGTTCTTTCCTGCAGTTTTCTTAAAAAACATAGGTGAAATGTTTTCCTAATCCTTTGTCTTACAACTTAATATACACAAACAAAATACAGAACGTCCTATATTGCTTTATGTTATGATATATTAATCGCTGCATTATCCTCTTCCTCTCCAAAAATGTTTTGCCTGTCTGTATATATTTGTAGGAGTTGTGGCTAATCCTGACAAAAGTAGGTTCCTTTATAAACTATTTATTGGCATGTGTAGCAGTGCTTTGTACACCACATGAGTGTTGAAACTTTGAGAGTTAATGTGGTGTTTGTGCAATTTCTTTAATGGGTGACGCCTGTCACATCCCATCTCCAGGCAGAAACTTAACCAGTGTTTTGCCACAACATAGCGAGAGACATCTGTGATTGAACCTTCCCACCGATGGCTCAGCCATCCCTACCTCTAATCTCTCTACTGGCCTCCTTAACAACATCCCGGATGGAGCACCCCCAGGGCTTATGTGTCTCATTGTTGCAAAGGTTCACCGCTCACTTGCAGCGAGCAGTCTCACAATAAGCATGACCACCCTTCATGGGAGCTTAACCCTTGACGTGTCACAGCATGTTACTTTAACTTAAACGCGTTACACAGCTGCACGAGAAAATACGTCGAGGCTGTTAAGACAAGTGGTAAAATTACGTTGTCACTGTCGACTAGCAGGGCTGTTGCTTGTCGAGCCGCACTCTCGGCACCCCCGTAGCGCCCTTTAACGCTGACCTCCGTTGGCACTGCAGTAGACTCAGCTGTGTCGCCGCGTTGCGACGCGCTGCCTTCCCAACTTGCTTCTGTGCACGACGCCCGTTGACGTGCTATTCTCAGCGCTGCTATTGATTTTCGGTCACTTGTAAACTTTCCTTAGCAGCTGCACAGCCAAACACTGTAAGTAAAGCAACAATCTTCTCGAGTTAGTTGAATGTGGTAATTCTTTATTTTGGCATCCTTGAAATGAATATAAAATTAAGTTTTTTTCTCTTTCTGCGCTTAAGGCAATGCAAGCTGTATTCAGTTGGGTCTGGAGTGCACATTGGATTGGAACATCGGGCAAATCTTTTCTCAAGATGTGGATAAGAAATACTGCACAATAATCTGAGAAATGTAAGAATATAGCCACAGCTGTCAGGTTGGAAAGAGCCTTAATTAACTCTATTGGGACAAGTCATGAATATTATCGTGTTGCAAGCTACACTTTAAGAATTTTTATTGGTAAATTAACGTTGACACACCTGTTGTACGGAGCAACCGAGCATATTAATTTTCTGCCGAATTAAATAACATTAATCAAGGTTGCATTTGCTTGCTTGAACTTCAGCTGAGTTCTGCATTGTTTTTCGAGGTATAGAAATAACTGCAAGTGAATGTGTAAGTTACCATTAAAATGTAATTATCATGCTGAGGCCCTGAGTACCGACACAACCACTAGTTTCACTCCTGTCAACATAAGTTTAGTCCGGGCAGATGTGCTCAGCTCCGATGAGCAGTTAGCACAAGTAAGGCGGCTGGCCATATGGACACATCACAGAGTGATATCAACATTGCGAGTGATTGCCTTTCTTCAGAGTTTAATGCTAGAAATTGATGACTGCCAAAAGTGTAATATTAAAAACTAGCTTTACTACCCAGCTTCGCCTGGGACTTGGATTGATGACTGCCAAAAGTGTAATATTAAAAACTAGCTTTACTACCCAGCTTCGCCCGGGACTTGGATTCACCACGCCCGGCCGCCTTTGTCTCCCCAGTGGCGGTATTCAAACACCACACCAGTTACTCGTTTGAGGCTGAGTTGACCTAGAGGAGGCCCAGGACCGGTTCAAATAATCGTCACCGGTGGTGGCCGTGAGCGGGAATCGAACTCGGGTCGCCGGGTTCGTAGCGTGGTGCACTAACCGCTACACTACAATGTGTTACGCTTCCACATGCGAGGGTCACGTGCCAGATTTGACGTCACAGCTCACTTGCCGTGCAAAAAATAAATGCATTATTGAGCTCCCCCCCCTAAAAAAAGTGTATTTTTATAATTTTTGCATGGTGTACAGTCTGGAAAGTACCCACATGGCAAATTTCAAGTTTGTTGCATGTCGGGAAGTACGCTAAACATTTTTAACAGAGACATATTCACAACTTTGCCTTTTATATATATGGAGATAAAATGTAACGTTCATATATCCACATAGATTAACGGTTTGTGCTGAAACACTGCTAAGCCTCATGGCAATGAGTCGTAGCAGACCAAGCCTATATTTTAATCAATGAGACACTTTGACTACAGTATGGGGATTGCAGTCTTCACCTGTATAAACTATCCCAAAGCCATTATTGGTTTTAACGGGACGTGGCGAGGTGGGAGTGGGGCTGGAAGGGAAAGGCTTGTAAACAACCCAGAATGCATTCCAAAGACAGCATTGTTTAGGGAACAATAGTCAAACACGCGAACCATGTAAATTAGCACCAGAGGATTACATGGGTGACAGTGTAAAGAGACCCATACGTGTAATCAGATGATGGGGATATCGAGAGACAGAAATGGACAGTCATGTTATGAAATTGAAGCGGTTGTCATTAACTGAATCTTCAGTGGAGTTTTTTTTTTACCCTCGGTGTGCAGCTGGCGGGCAGGTAGGGAGGATAAATCTCGCAAGCATATTCCATTAAATAGGCATCGTTTGTTTGGTTGTGTGGTCCAGTGTAATCACATTTTAGAAATCAAAGTGGTGTCCTTTAGCCAAGGCGTGTTTAGCCACTAATGAGTACTTCAAATGCAAGTTAATTAATTCAATTAATTCACATAGGCAGGTTGCACATTCATATTCTACAAGCCGAGACTAGAGCTGCCGGTTTTGTGTCGCCAATGTATTCCACCTTGCAGACCTCACACAATTGAGACTGTAGTGCGTCTGTCATGTGAGACAGATCTCTCTTTAGGGTTTAAAATGGGTGACGCGCAGTGTGTATGCTGGTTAGCAAGCAGGAGAAGAGCTTGGGGAATGTAAAGTCCTGGGTAATAAGGAGTATGCAGTCACTGTCCCCCAGTGATCATCACGATATTGGACACATGCTGTTGGGATTGGTTGTGTCTTGGAAGGTGCATCCAAGCAGGACAGCCATATCTATGGGACCTTTTGTCAGTATCAAAAGTATGAAAAAAAATAAAAATAGGTGTTACACTTTATGGCAATTAAACAGGAGTGTGGTCTGCCTCCGGCCACTGTGATCCAGAATTCCACACAACTCTCTCAATGTCCCCTGCCCCCCCCTCTCTCTCTGTCCCAACCCCTCTCCCCTCTCTCTATTTAAAGCCTCGACACAGTGGCGCTGTCTTTCTTTTTGTCATTCTTTGGAGGAGCGTGGTCAGCCAGGTGGGGTGTTAGCTATTGTGTTGTCCGGCTCTCTGTGTTGTGTTGCATTGTGTTTCTAAGTTTGCTATGTTTTTTTTCATTCTTACCTGATGACGGTTGCTTGTGTTGCAATCGAAACGTCGTATTCTATTATAAAAAAAATTCTACATGACTTCACCGAAAGAACCAAAGAGTAATTCCTGCAGTCACGAAAGCTTTGAATCTAGTTTGAATAAAACAGGTGTTAAGATGTAACTGCTCAACCCCAGCTATAAATGCTCTGATACTTGCATTGTCTTTGTATTGTTTGCCTTCTGGTGTTCTCTGGTCTAACACTGGTGAGACAAGGCCATAAAGAGGCTATCTCTGGTATAGGCAAATCAGTGTCAAAGAGAATGCATATATTATTTGCATATGGTGAATGCAGACGTCATGCCTTGCAAAAGGAATCTATTTGGTATTTGAGCATCTTAACACCTGTTTTATTGGCAGGAAAGCCATCTTTCATATAAAAACGTCACAGGTAAAATATGATCTTTGCCAATACATATTTTGCATCTTGACAAAGATGCCATGTTCGGCTCACCGTGTTGTTGCCTAAAGATCGAGGACTTAAGGTTTGGTCTCTGTGCGGTCTGTTTGTGCTTCCTCTACACACATGTTAAGAGACTGTCGAAGGCAGTGTGTGTACCAGGACGTCCAAGAAGGAGAGCTTGCCTTCGTGTATTTTGTTCAATTGTAAACTGAATAGAAATAAACACACATTTGCAGTCATGCATCAGTGGGTGTTGAACGCCCATCTAACCATGCTACGGCAGAACTAGGCACGGTCCCGCTATCCCGGATTGGACCACGAGCTTGGTCCCAGACCGCATGGCTAGAGGCTTCTTCAACCCGACGTTGATCTTGTGACCGCCCAGTAGCCCCTGTCTACCGGTGGCCCC